CTTCAAGAAATCAACAACTTCTTGGAGTTCCAATTTTGCCTGGTCAGCTCCAGCTACGTCAGCAAAGGTAACTCCGGTCTCTGGCACTTCCTGGAACTTGGATTTGGATCGTCCAAAATCCATGGGTCCGCCAAGCCCACCGGGGCCACCTGGCCCACCTTGAGCCCGACGGAAGAGGAAGAACAATCCGGCAAAAGCAAGGAAAGGGAAAATCAGATTCCCAATAAAATTGAAAAGTCCGTTACCAGAATCACCCTCGGCTACGGAAATATCGACGCCATTCATTGCTAAAATGTCTATAAGGTCAGGATCATTGGGGACAATTACGGTGGCTCGACGGCCATCAACGGCGGTGAGTTGCAGGGCAGAACCGTCTTTGCTGAACCTGACTCTCTCCACTTTCCCTTTCTTGACCGCGTTCAAGAACTCGCTGTACCTCCATTGGCTGCCTTCTGGGAGATCAGACGATTGAGATTGAGGCTTGGGGGCAGTTAAGAGGAGATTTTGAGCGAAAGGTGACTGGTTCGATGGGCTTGGCTTGGTTGGCTGCGCTTCGATTACGGGCGGGGGTGTTGGCGGGGCGTTATCAACGGCTAGTGCTTGTGGGGTTACTGAAGAGAAGAGTAAGGCAGCTAGAGTGGCATGAGATTGGAGTGTTTTTAAGCTTCGTTGTGAGTTGGGTTTCTTGTTGAGGATAGATTGAGTTATTTGGAACTTCCTCGTCGTTTTAGGGGTTGGAGGAGAAAGCAAGAGCTGGGTTCCAAAGAAGTTTGATGAGAGCAAGGAGTTAGCCATTGGCGGCATGAGAGGTGAGAGTACCGGTTTCTGTTACTACTGTTCTGAAGCAAGGTTTGGTCAGGCTCCCCTTTGTTGTTGGTTTATCCCTTCAAAGAATGGACAGGAAATAAATAAATCATACATTGAGGCGTTGGCATGTGAAACTGAAATCAGGAAATGTGTAATGCGGGGAGGTTTGGGCTTGATTTTGAGGTTTCGATTTGGACTTTGATTTTGGGAGGGTGCTAGAGTTGGATAAAGCAACGCCGTGGAGTTTGATGTTGCTGGGGTTGCGTCTACGTGTTCATCACATCTGCCACTCGGTTTAAATATCTTCTTTCTTGTTAGTCAATATGCCAAAAGAAACCTGTTTTTTTTTCTCTCTTTTAGAAAATCAAAATCCCAAGATTCTATTCAGACTTCGTGCTAAACAAAGAGCCAGAAAATAAAGTGAAAAGTCTTGAAAATTGTAGTCCAGTAATTCATTTTCGATTGATTTATTCAGTTAAAATCCGTCGAATTAATTAAGTATCATTTCAGGCTGGCCAACGGCCCAATCTGTGTTAACTCTGAGCAATGGTTCACTTCTAAAAACGAACAAATCAAAATCTACTGGGTGGACTCTCAAAGTATGCTGAAAATTGGGCCATGGCCCAATAACACGATTTGGACTCACGGTTGAGGTAAAATTAAAACGATCTTTGCGGCGGCGGGATTGTTTTCTTTTCATTGCCCAAATCACAGTCTCGTGATAAACCATAAAATAAAACCAGAAAATGGAGCCTCACCAGGACACCTCCGAGAACCCTAACGATGTTGTTTCCGACGACTTCTCCTCACCGGAGAATACCAATCCGGAAGACCAAGAGAACCCTAACGCCTCGCTCGATCCCCCTATTTCGGATTCCCAAGATGAATCCTCCGACCCCGTCCCCGACGAGCAACCGCAGAACACTAATTCAAACCCCGCCGAGCCTGGCCCTCCCGTTCGTAGACGACGCCGCAGAAAGCGTTTCTTCACTGAACTCAATGGCAACCCTTCGTTCTCGAAGAACCGTCGCCCTAGAATATCAGGCCTCGCTAAAGAAATGGACACCGAAGCTTTAATCGCAATCTCCGTGGGTTTCCCTGTTGATTCTCTCACTGAAGAGGAAATCGAAGCTAATGTGGTGTCAAGAATCGGGGGCCAAGAGCAAGGTAACTACATCGTCGTAAGAAACCACATTCTCGCTCGCTGGAGATCCAATGTTTCTGTCTGGTTGACGCGTGATCACGCGCTCGAATCAATCCGAGCCGAACACAAGAACCTAGTTGACTCAGCGTACAATTTTCTTCTTGAACACGGTTACATTAACTTTGGTTTAGCCCCGGCTATTAAAGAAGCGAAATTGAAGTCGTTGGATGGCGTGGAAAGAGCCAATGTAGTGATTGTGGGTGCGGGTTTTGCGGGTCTGGTTGCGGCGAGGCAGTTAGTTTCGATGGGGTTTAAAGTTGTCGTCTTGGAAGGTAGGTCGCGCCCTGGGGGGCGCGTGAAGACAAGGAAGATGAAGGGTGATGGCGTGGTGGCTGCAGCGGATCTTGGTGGGAGCGTCCTCACCGGAATAAATGGGAATCCACTTGGGGTTCTTGCGAGGCAAATGGGATTACCTCTTCATAAGGTGCGAGATATTTGCCCTTTGTATTTGCCAGATGGAAAGGCAGTAGATGCTGATGTTGATTCTAGGATAGAGGTTTCTTTTAATAAGTTGTTGGATAGAGTTTGTAAGCTTAGGCATGCTATGATTGAGGAAGTTAAATCAGTTGATGTTCCATTAGGGACTGCGCTAGAAGCCTTTAGGAGTGTTTACAAGGTAGCTGAGGATTCACAGGAGAGGATGCTGTTGAATTGGCATCTTGCAAATTTAGAATATGCTAATGCTTCCTTGATGTCTAATTTGTCCATGGCATATTGGGATCAAGATGACCCATATGAGATGGGTGGTGATCATTGTTTTATACCTGGTGGCAATGAGAGGTTTGTTCGAGCACTTGCTGGGGACCTTCCTATTTTTTATGGGAGGACTGTGCAGAGTATCAGGTATGGTATTGATGGGGTTAGGGTTTATGCAGGTGGACAGGAGTTTCGTGGGGATATGGCTCTTTGCACAGTTCCATTAGGAGTTCTTAAGAAGGGATCGATAGAATTTGTTCCTGAGCTTCCACAAAGAAAGAAGGATGCTATTCAGAGACTAGGATATGGGCTGCTGAATAAGGTTGCAATGTTGTTTCCATACAACTTTTGGGGTGGAGAGATTGATACTTTTGGCCATCTGACAGAAGACTCTAGTATGAGAGGCGAGTTCTTTTTGTTTTATAGCTATTCCTCTGTGTCAGGAGGACCACTTCTTGTTGCTCTTGTTGCAGGGGATGCAGCAATTAAGTTTGAAATGATGTCTCCTGTTGAGTCTGTGAAAAGGGTATTAAACATATTGCGGGGGATTTTTCATCCGAAAGGGATTGTTATTCCAGATCCTGTTCAGGCTGTTTGTACCCGGTGGGGGAAAGATTGCTTCACATATGGATCCTACTCCTATGTTGCTATTGGTTCATCGGGGGATGATTATGATATTCTTGCTGAGAGTGTTGGAGATGGCAGAGTTTTCTTTGCAGGTGAGGCAACTAATAAGCAGTATCCTGCCACAATGCATGGAGCTTTTCTAAGTGGCATGAGAGAGGCTGCTAACATACTTAGAGTGGCCAGGAGGAGGTCATTGGCTCTGACTGACAAAGTTAATAATGATAACGAGGAATGTGATGGTTTGAATAAATTATTTGAGAACCCTGACTTGACATTTGGGAGCTTCTCAGCCATTTTTGATCCCAATTCAAATGATCTTGGATCTCATGCATTAATAAGGGTCAAATTCCACGGGGATAAATTGGACTCGAGTTTCTTGTGTCTTTATGGCTTGATAACAAGGAAGCAGACCATTCAGTTAAGTGAACTGAATGGAGATGGGAACAGGATGAATTTGTTACATCGCACCTTTGGGGTGAAGTTGGTTGGTAGGAAAGGATTATCGAATATGGGGGAGGCTCTTATCTCACGCATCAAAGCAGCGAAATTTAACCACAACGTAGGGGACCTAGGCTAATGCTTCGTTGTTTGCCTCACCAGCTTTGCAAGCATGAGAAAGATGCTGCTGACTCGTTAGCATGTCTCACGTTTGACTTTCTTTCCATCTAACACTGGATTGATTCCAATCGTTTGTATTGGTAATAACTAATAACTAACGGTAAGTATTCCCACATTCAAAGGAGTCCAGATTAGTGAATTTCGATATAGAACACGATTCATTCAGTTACCCAATACTTGTAATTCATTGTTAAAATTCCTTTCGAGGAAATGCTGGATTTCCAGTTCTTGCTTATCCTGATTTTGTCAATCCTTCCACATCATTGTGCAGTTATTGTTGTTGTTGAATTACAATTTATTGAATTTCTTTTTACATTTTTGTTTGTTGTCAGTATTGGCTTTGGGAATTACAACTCCTTTTTTGCGTTTTTGAGAATAAACGTGCATTACAAATCAAATTAAACAAACGCCTCTTCGCCTGGTTTCACTTGGGAATAAAAAACCCCAGTTTACTTGAATTCTTTGTAATAATCAATGCTTAAAACTCTTAAAGCTTGGTGCCGTCAAGATTCCATTTGTACAGTTGTACCTAGGGACGTAACAACTAGAGAGTTATATATATATTAGCTACATGATCGATTCGAACGTGAAGCATAAGAACGATAAGAATTTGTCCTGGTTCACTTTGTCTGGAAGACATAATTGGCAGGTCACTCGTGCAAATATTAGGCAATTTCTTTAGCAACCCACGTTATTTAAGTTAAAACCATAGCGCCCCAAGGTTCGTGAATATTAAAGCAGGAGGATACTTCATCATAGCGTGAAGTTTGATGTATTTCACACGATTCATTGGATCCGTATCCAAAATTGCATAATTCCAACGGCCACCTCCTGTCTTACAGCCATGGAGCAGTTTGCTTGTGTATGTCAGTATTATCCAAAATTGCATAATCCTACAATCGAGGAGGTTCCAGAGCTGTAACTCACGACATGACAGCGAATGCAAGGTTGGAAGGATAGAGATGAATCGCTGTCTCTTTCTCCTCTATATATAATAAGATCAAATTGGGTTGTTTTCAGCAATTCTGCGAAGAGGTATTGTAATTCAACATTGTAAAAGCTCCCTTTGCTAAAGGAAAAAAAAAATGGCTGCCTCAATTGGACATGTTCGTTCAAGCAGTTTGCCCTCCAGCATCCATCCTCTAGTTGCAAGTGTTGAGGAGCAGTTATCCAGATTGAAGGCATCACAAGACACATCCTCATCGATCAGCTGCGGATTGGGAGGTCTGAAAGAATTGTACGAGCGTGTTGATGATTTGGTTCATTTGCCACTTACCCAACAAGCTCTTTGCCATGAACAGCTAGAGGACGTGTTGGAAGGATCTTTTAGACTGTTGGACGTGTGTGGTACCACTATAGATGTTTTCTCTCGGATGAGAGAGAGCGTGCAGGTAGTGGAATCATCCCTCAGGAGAAGAAGTAGTGGAGAATCTGGCTTGGCAAATGAAGTCAGAGCTTTTATGGTCACCAGGAATGAATTGAATAAGATGATCTGTCAGTGTTTTAAAAGCTTGAAGGGAATGGATCGGAAGTGTAAATCAACTGTCTTGGACAAAGATTCTGAAATGGTGGCTGTGTTTAGCATGCTGAAAGAAGCTGAGGAGATTAGTCTTGCAGTGTTTGATTCCCTGCTGTCTTTTCTTTCTCTTCCGAAGCCAAGATCAAAGCTTACTGCTTTACTGCATTCAAAACGTGCATCAAGTGGAGAAGTGGAAGCAAACGAAGCTCAGAAAGTAGACGCTGAGTTGGGTCTCATGAAGTCTGGTAAAGACATCAAACTCGTACAAGTGCAAAAAGTATTGAAGGGACTGGAGGCATTCCAATCTACCATTAAGGAAACAGAGGAGGAGTTGGAGTGTGTCTTTAGACGATTACTGAAAACCAGAGTTTCCCTTCTCAACATTCTGAACCGCTAATGTCCAAGACAATTTTGTACTGTCATACAACTTTGGTTCTCAATTGTACAAATACATACAAAACCAATTTCAACACATTGGATATTGATCTCCAATTGCCTTTTCTCTTCCCATGCATTTATAGTTTCACAATAACACCCTCTAACTGCATTACTGACGTAGAGTGTCTAGTAAATAATATTTTAGAACAGGTTGAGTGTCAGAAATCAAAATCATCGAATAATATTACTAAGTTCTTCTCTCAAATTTAAATTTAAAGTTACAATATTAGAAATTTGGTTATTAACCTTAAAGGCATAGTCAAGAGCTAATTTTTATTTTCACTTTAACTCGCAGCGTCAATTCTAATTCCAATTGCTACTTATCATTGGAAATTAAAGGAGACTTGCCTTTAAGCAAGATAATCAATATGTGTATCCTGGGACATTGATTGATAATTCTGCCTCTCCCCCTTCAGGGCTCTCCTTTAGTTCCAAAAATAGTTAATTGCAGTAATTGCACAAAAGGAATTATACCTTTCCAAGATGCCTTCTACGTGTAATTATCAATTTTTTTTTTTAAATTTGTGTAATTATCAATTATCTTTAGCAAATCATTTAGTAGAAGAATATGTTAATCAGGCAGTGATAATCTGGTGCACAGCCGTCACATTTCAGATTTCTGCAGTTATTATTATTCCCGGGCAATGGGTAAAAATCTATCTGCCATGGATGACCTTCTGTTTTTTGAAATTTTATGGACTGGTTAGAAATCTATTCAATGATTTCTCAGCAAATGATAAGTTCATTATTCATCAATATCATGCGCACGGACTGCATGTATTTCAAATCAACATCGAGCTGTAAAGATTCCTGGCTATATAGACTTGCTTTAAAGGTTCTCAACCAAAGAAAGAAAAAGGATTCCACTTGTTGGCAGATGCTAAACCATCGACGGGATTGGCGCAATTTCCTGTCATAAAACAAAACTTTTACAAACTTGCAATATTATAAAGTGGCTTCTACATCTTAATGTCTGGGGGACAGGTTAGCAGATTGATGCAGACGACTATATTCTAATTTTCTCTCCATAATATGTTTCAATGATGAAACATCAGCTGACTACATGCAGGCAATGCCACATCAAGGCCAACTGAACATTTAAATAGGATACCTTCTGTCTCCCTTCACCTTATATAAAAGCTGCCTAGTAGGAATGGCCTGAACATCTAACTCTGTATGTGCATCTCAGCAATAAGTTATCTGCTAAGAAAATGGTAAAAAGAATGGATGCTACTATTGCAACAATGAAATCATATTTCCATGCTCGTTCCAACAGTTTGCCATCAAAATCCCACCCTTTTGTAGCCGATGTTGAGGATCAGTTGCGCAGGTTTAGAGCCTCAGAAGCAACATTTTCTTCTCCATCAGTTCTATGCCAGAACTTGTCTGCTCTGAAAGATTTGTATGAATGTGCTGATAATCTGCTTCAGTTGCAACTCGCCCAAAAGGCTTTCTCCAATGAACTGCTCGATAGATGTGTAGAAGACATGTTGGATGGATCTCTCAGGGTGTTGGACATATGAGGCTCAACCAAGGACGATCTTTCTCAGATCAAAGGTTGCCTTCAAGATCTGGAATCATCCTTCCGCAGAAGGAATGGTTGTGAATCGAGCCTCGCAAATGAGATAAGAAAGTACTTCATCTCAAGAAAACAAGTTAGTAAAATTGTTTGCAAGTGCTTCAGCAACATGAAGAGGATGCAGAAACGCAATGCGGCAATCCCGGAAAATGACCATGACTTTGTGGCCGTGGTTAGCATGCTAAAAGAAGTTGAGGCAGTTAGTCTCACAGTGTTCGAGTCCCTATTGTTATTTGTTTACCACCCAAAACCAAAGTCAATTGGTTGGTACTTGGTCTCAAAATTGATCCAATCCAAGCGTTTATCCTGTGAAATTGAGGACAAAGAGGATAAACTAGATCATACTTTAGAAGCTCTTATCAAGAACAAGTCAGGCAAAAGCATTGATATCACCCAAGTACGGAAGACCCTGAAGGATTTGGAGGCCTTCGAATCAATTATTCAGGAGCTTGAAGAGGGACTGGAGTGTGTCTTCAGGTGTTTGATCAAAACCAGGGTGTCCTTTCTCAACATTGTCAACCATTAACCAGTGCCCTCTGGGTCATTTTTTGATCTAGCGATATCCACTGACATCCCCATTCTTTTACAGGGGGCTTGTCTGTTATTTTTGCTGTATAGTGCTGTGTAAATTGAATGAGTTATATATGTACATTGTCCAGTGGGCAAGCCAGAGAAGAAATCGTTTCCCCAAAATCTCTTTTTTTTTTAATCCTTTTTCTTTTAATCTTTTTTTATATTTTCATTTTTTTCTTATCCTGAACATTACTGATAACACATGGACCTTAGGACATAGTTGCTTATTGATATGAGCAGCTTAAATTACGATTTAATAGAAATTCAATGAATTTTATGCTTTTTGATTTAATATCAAAGACGCCCTATAGGGTCCAGAAACTTGTAGGAATTGTTTTCTTTCCAAATATAAAACTTGCAAGTAGAATCATCAAGCAACTTATACTCCTAATGTTAATGTTCTTATATTAATTAATAGATTGGTTTATCGAACTCTTAATTAAAAGTAATGAAGATTTCTGTTATAACACCAAACTAAAAAAGCTTAAAAATTGGCTTCAAGGCGTATATCAATGCTACTGTCTTTAAAGTTTTATTCGCCCTCACTCCCCACTTATAATGTGTAAAAAAGTTACTGACGTATAAATCTCGAAGACATAATGAAACTCAATGATTGATGACGTTTTGTATTAACGAAATCAATCCACTAAGCACTCACCGGAGTATAACAAGATTATCAAACTTCTATAATATTTTTTCTGCAGGAAAATGATATAGAAGAAAACTTGGAAGATGTTTGAGGAAGAAAAATGAGAGATATTACTGTTTTTCTGATGTTAAAAAGGATCCTTTTTTATAGGTATCGATGTCTGTTCTCAACAGACACTGATTGTGTCTGTTTCAAAGAGTTACTCTATTGATTTTTTCGTGACTCTTCTTCTTATTTTTATTTAATTTAATTTTATTTATTTATTTTTATTTTTAACAAACATAACTTTTATTTTGATTTTAATTTTTAACTATCACAATTTTTCTTCTATTTTGATATAAAATCATATCTTTTATTTGAAAATGTTCAACAATTTCTCCCACCAATTTGTATTAGAGAGCTCCATCTATTCTACGATAGCTGGTTTGCCAAGGGAAGTTGAAGCAAGCAGTCCGAAAGTGTTGAAATCTGTTCCATGGTCTGTTTCTGAGTCAAAGGTAACTGGTTTACTTTTGGTTTTCAAGTTGATTCAAACCAAATCTCACGAATGTAAGACTAAGAAGCTTACGCCAATGAAGTTGAGAAGAAACCAAAATTTCGTCGATGTTGTCCAAGTGCAAAACTTGCTGCTGTTGAGGTCCAATCGACTTATATAACTTAGCTGAATATACTTATAAATATCAGTAAATGATTGTTTTCTTTGAAATTTTGTACACAAAAACAGAAAATTAAAGTAAATAGAGGAAATTTGTATAAGCATCGCTTCCGCTTGGTCCTCGATCCCTTCTGGTTTTTAAACTGAGAACAATCCAAGCAAATAATTGAACAGAATTCACCAAGTTGGGCTTATTAGAGATGTCAGCCACATCAGACTCAAAGTTTTAGTGAAATATTTGGAGGAATTAAGGATTTGTATACCCTCTATGTGGGAGTTTCTAAGATTTTGTTCTTTTGTCCTCATTAAGACAATACTTTTTATTGACTGAAATATGCTGCACCAAAATTTTTGCATTCTATAGATGATTCTAATGGTTCTGTTAACGCTGCAGAATTCTTTATGGTCAAAACTTCTTCCTGCATGATTATTACTTGATTATTAGTTTTAAGTCTAGGAGAATTTTCCGTCAAGATTAAGGCTTAATTGAATCACAAAGAAATGAAGTAAACATCATCTACCAGGACATGCTGAAAATCAATTTCGAAATTCCAAAAACAATGGAGCATGCTTATTGAAACCAATTCACAAACATCAATCATGGATTAGTTTTTGTCAGACGTAAACAGGCTGTTGAACTTAATAATGTGATGAAGCTATTAGTTCTAAATCAAGTTGATCGCCAGCTGTCAGGATTCTTCTTACTTGCTAACCAAAGGCTAACCTTGAGCATTTGTCTGCCCACAGGAATGAACTAAATCTGAGCCAAATATGGAGAGGTTGTTCTGATCTACCTGGCTGGTAGGATGGCATGCTTTTAATTTGTTTTATCCTTATAGTTTTTATTAGTAATACTCAACTGAGGATGTAGCAATGAGAAGACATTGCCAGGACCATCGGAAGCCCCTCCATATGATATCCTGATGAAGTCCTTATGACAAGATTCATTGTCTCCTCTCTTCATATATATATAGCTGGTTCCTTGGTTTGACGAACTTAAGCTTCAAATTCCAGTACCTTGATTTCAAGTGTTGTATATATTGCTTGTGCTAGAAAGGAAGATGGATGCAAAACTTGGTTACCATACTCGTTCAGTCCGTTTGCCCTCCATATCTCACCCTGCAACAGCAAATTTAGAGAACATTTTTACAGCTTAAAGGCCTCAGAAGCCACATCTAGAACAACAGTATGCCACAAGCTGAGTGGTCTTCTTGCTTTGTGCGATTATGTTGATGATATGCTTAAGATGCCACTCATTCAACAAGCTCTCTCCCATAAACGAGATGACAAATGGGTAGAAAATGTGTTGGGTGGATCTCTTAGGGTGTTGGATGTGTGTGGAATCACTAGAGATGTCTTGTCGGAGATGAAGGAGATTGTTCAAGATCTTGTATCGTCTGTCCGAAGAAAAAGAGTTGGAGAAACTGGCCTTCCTGATGAAAGATTGGAAACTACATGACCACTATCAAAACCATGAAGAAAGGGTTTCCAGGTGTCTCAAAAGCTCAGTACTTCTTGACAAAGGCAGCAATCTAGGGGCTACCGTTAGCATCCTCAGTGCTTGAATGCATCTTAGGATCCATTCCTGAACCAAAGGCAAGATCAAGGCTAGGCCCTTGGTCTTTGGTTTCAAAGGCAATGCGACCGACTCGTATAGCATGTGAAGGACTAGAAGGGAATGAAATGGAAGAAATGAATTATGTCCTGATTGCCTTAAACCACCCGGAAGCTAAGCAAGCAAACAAGCGTTGAGCAATTGCAGACTTTGCTGAAACAGCTGGAAGCATTAGAGTTGAGTATCCATGGCCTTGAGGATGGATTAAAGAGAATGTTCAGGCAGCTTGTCAAAACCAGAGTCTCCCTTCTTAATACTTTGAGCCAGTAGGAATCCAATTTTCTTTGTCACAACACACAGCTAGATCATCTCCAGTGGCGTCCTAGTTTTTCAAAAGAAACTGCCATGTGATTTCCCCCCTATATCCTGTAAATTATCGAACATTATGTACATATGATTTGCCAGCACAAATTTAAGCTATAATTATCCTGTAATTGATCTCATATCTTCTCTCTTAAACCTGGAAAAGGCTCTGATAACATCTGAATTCAGTAACAAGCTTTACAGTGATCTCATGTAGTGACGAAACAATATAAACCCTTTCTTTTTTTTCAGCAAGACCATGCAAAAAGGTGAAGGAGAATATCAGCTTTCGCTGTTGGCCAGAAAACAACACTTTGCCTGCATAAGTATCATCGAGCCAAATAACATCTAGATTGGAGATCGATTAAGGTGCAGAGTTAGATTTTTCTCAGCCAAATTTACTTTACAATTACGAATATCTCTGAACTGTGTTTTTTTTTCGGCTTTGGGCTAAACCTAACCTCTTAATCGGCTTGATCGTTAAGACTTCAGGGTCGTTGTTATTATCAGGTTTGTGGTTGCGGGCGATCCCCATTGGGCCCGAACTGAACGTTCCAGAAAAAATTGTCCAAAGTCGGTGACGGGGGACCATAGTAATTCGAAACCAACCCAAACCTCAGCCTCCCCTCCCAAATTTCCAGGAAAACGAAAAACGATAAAAGTTGTACCATGGGCAATAATTGCCATTCGAGTTTAATTGATCCTTGGGCTTGAAAATGATCCAATACTGAAAAAGTTGTTAACACTGACGCATCACCAAACCCAAGGAAAACCAGTGGTTATATTGTGCAGTTCTCTTATGATCAATTGAAATTGAAAGGTGACAACACTGGAAACGACTGTCCGAAGAGCTTGAAGCATTTCATCAATGCAGGAGAATGGTGTGGAGCGGTGGATGCCAGCCTCGTGTTTCCTTTCTTTTGCCCTTGTATTAATTCAGAGTGGGTTAGGAAGGAGATAAATAGCTGAGGATTTAGGCGTTTAGCAGAACATGGCTTACCTCACTGCACACGTCTTTTACTGCTGTAGGGGCCCAAGCAAGCCTCAAAACAACCACTAGTTGCAATTCGATTGGGCCCGATCGACAGTGACTACCAGGAGGACCACCGGCTCATTAAGCAATCCCAAAAACTTTGCGGAACTCTCCCATGACCAAAAGCCCGCACAAGCCACAGCCTACCCTGCATTGCCAGCAAAAGATCATGATGTAAATGGAAATCGGGTGGGTTTTTTTTTTTTTCCAGTGGGTTGTGGAGAAAGAAGTAGTGCTTCGACGTCTGATGGGGACGTATTTTCTTGTAACATTCCCTTTGTCTCAACTTCTTTCGCTATTTTCCCCCTTCATTTTCACTCCCAAGTAAAAGATATTTTCTATCTGGAGTTCCCTGCATAGCACTCGAGGTAGGCTGGAGGTCCAGTCTATTAATCTTTGATGGCTCAATGCTTATCAGGTGCGGTGGGGATAAATTCCTGAGCCCATTGAATGTGGACTCTCCATGATTAGCTGGGTCCGACGAGACATTCCTCCTGCAGACAAAAAAAAAATCTATCTGTTGTAACGTGTGGACATTCTAAGTCTTGGGACAGTCGTTTCCAAATTTACATGATTTTACATTCTGTTTCCTTATCTTTCATCTCTGTGTTTACCACTGAAAGATACTGTGTAAGGTTTCATATTGTCAGTTTTGATGGGTACCTAACCTAAACGCATTGGATGAAAGGTGTGGTGGGAAATTAAAATTCAGGGGATTGATAAACATATGATTATGATTATAGTTTCAAACCTTACGCAGTGAAGATTCCATAACCAGTTGTCCAGTTTAGAGAAAACATTAAGCTACAAAAAAGAAAACATGTTCGTAATCATTTGGGGTCCGAACAAATAATGCAAAAGCTGAATTACATTTGGTCCGTGATATCATCTCGGGCAATCATGTAGGCAACCGATAATAGAAAAACATGTTTAATGGTACATTAAGGGTTTTAAAATGTCAAAATGCAGAGAATAAAGAGTAATAGTATCAGGGATAAACAAAGAAGGGGAAGCAGCATGATGCTGATAAAGACAGATCAAAGTAGCTGACATGGAAAAGTTTTACGCGTACTGGCGAGGTCGCTGGGATTAGATAGATAGGCCAGAGTCCGGATAAGGAACGCGTGAAGTGGTACCCAACACAAAAAACCAATGATGCCATTCACCCATGGAGAACTCAAACCCCAATCTGAAGGCTCAAAGAGTTTGCCCTGCCTTACTGTTTCTGCTTTTTACTATACTACCAGTACTTATCTATTGTTTTTTTTAGCCTTTTCAAAATCAAAACAGTGCACTAAATTGATGACCATAGAAAATTTAGAAAGAAAGCGGTGCAAGTGGGAAATTGGAAAATGGAAATCGTAGACCTCAAACGTGACCTTTCGCGGATTGCTAAGCCGCTATGATTAGTTAGCTAATATTCAGGCCACTCATCATTCCCTGTCAGTATTCCCTCTCTCCAATCAAATTGAAGATTTCTCTCTTGCAGTTAACGGGGAATTAAAAACCAAAAAAGAAGCACAAGGGGAGTTCAAAATATAAGAAAATACATGAATTATGGCTTTTGCCAAGCTTTTCCGACCACTCCTGGTAGACTGGAAGTACTTCTTTCACCAGTTACCATTCAGTATTCACTGTGATTGAGCAGAAATTTTCTTTTGGGTCCATGATTTTTGAACTACTGCACATGAATTTAAAAAAGAAAAAGCTTTGACAAAACTCCATAATGGAATCATTACCTCCAAACTGCAATAGCTCAAAAGAATGTAAGGAAGAGTGTGAGAAAGAAGGGTAGAGCAGAAACAGCAGGCATGGAAAAGAGAATAAAAAACACCTTTTTTTTTTTTTTTGTTTTTCCTTCGTGTTCTTTTCCTGTAACTTTTACAGATTGGCATTATGACAAAGCAAACACCACTTGCTACTTGCCGTTTTCATCCAACACAAGGAGTTAACAGCCACCTAACAATGTTTGTTTTTCCTTTTTATACCAAGGATTTTTTCTCCTTTCTATCCTAGAGTAACACGGTACATACAAAACTTGAAAGGAGGAACCCTAGCTAGTTGCATAGTTACATTTGCTGATCGGAAAAACCATAAAAAAAGAAAAGAAAAGTAAAGAACTAACGAAAGAGAGACCTTTGTCCTCTTTTTAACGAGCAATTTCAAATTGCAAAGATGAATTCAGCTCCAATTGTTCAGCCTCCCACCTTGCCTTAGCAACAACTCCATCATGCAGTGGCACGTATTCCTATTCAAACAAAACACTATCCTAAGTTCTCGGAGCAGATATATACTACAATAATTTAATAACGAAATAAATAGTACTGCTAAAATGGACCCAAGAATTGAATAATAGACTTGTGATTATATGCCAATAAACGTTGGAAAAAAAAAAACCCACCTCCAGTTTTTGGACAAGTTCTCTTGCAGTCGGAGCGGAGACAACAATACTACGTTGGGATGGTCTGATGAATCCATCATCCACGGCTTTGTCCAAGAAGGTGAGCAGAGAATTGTAGTAGCCATCCACATTAATCAAGCCAACCTGTTGTGGGGATATGAAACAAAAAGAGTTAAAAATAAAAGTTGGTATGGTTTTAGAACCAGTTTCAAGCCAAATAGATTCACGATAAGACATTAAGTGGCTTTACAGGCTTGTCGTGGATTCCAAGCTGGGCCCATGTTATGACTTCTAATAACTCTTCCAGAGTTCCATATCCACCTGATCAATTGAAAACAAACAATAAACTAAAGCAAAGCATGATCAATTAGAACCATTAATTTTTAAGGGAGAAGGATTGAGACTTGAGAGAGACCTGGTAAGGCGATAAAACAGTCAGAATGGCGGGCCATCTCAGCCTTCCTTTGGTGCATGTCCGCAACAGGTTTGACCTCTCCTACTGTTTCCCCTGTTATCTGCTTAACGAAAACCAAAAGCATATTTCTGCATTATGGTTTAGTGACGTATCAGGAAAAAGTGACTATTTAGTTTAAGATAGAAGAAAAACCAAATGGAAAGATTTTAGACCTCTTTTCTCATCAGAGTTTTGGGGATAATTCTGTGGATAAAACAAGGAAAATAAACAGCAAGAACAATTCAGTATCCTGCTGAAGAAAATCAATTTCCAGTCAGGAATATAGATCGATGGAAGATATGTATTCGTACCCTAAGACATGTCCTCCACCACGGTGGACCTCCTGAGAAACCAATCCCATCAACCCGACACTTCCTCCACCATAAACAAGATCCAACCTCCTGGAGACCTTGAGAGCCAAGAAAGTAAAACCCAAGGAAGGAGCTTAGTTACAAGTTGTTAGCAAAGCTGAACGAAATGAAAGGAAGAAAGTATTGGAGAAAAGAATATATATCAGTAGTAGCTTTTGATCAATTCAATGATGTATATCGTGAGGGGAGTACCAGCTCTTTGCCCAGCTCAAGGGCAGCTTCACGATAGCAGTTTCGCTTGCCGGTGCTACTTCCGCAAAAGACGCAAACCCTTTTGAACCTGGAATTCACCGCTTTATTCTCCTCCATACCTCTTTTTGGTGTGTATTTTTCTTTTGCTTTTTTTTACTGCTCTTTCTATTTGATTGATTTAACCCAAAGCTAAAGGCTAAAGGGTATTTTCCAAAGATTCTTGAGGCAAAGGAGGACCCAATACCAAAAGAGGAACATGGAACTACACCATTTATAGGATCTCAAGTTGTAGCACCGATAACTTTTGTTACGCGTGGACTCCTGTTGCGCCACGTGGGTCTCGAAACCCCGAAAACTTTGCTTTACCAAATTCGCCGACAGGATTCGTTTTTTCGCAACCTCTCTTGATGCTCTCATCCACTGGCTTGATTCCACGTTGCACAACATTTTCCTTTTCATGAGAGACAGAGATACGCCGAAATAATTTACACAGTGTTTACAGACTGTTAAGTTTGAAGCAGGAAGTGTAAATTTCATTAAACTGCTCATAACAGTATATACAAGTGTTGATCAATGATGTTCATATAGAAGGGATTAGACCAAGATCTTGTCTTTTCACATAGCTAATTCTCAGCCGAGACTCTTGCGTAGTCTAACACAGACATTCTTGCATTTGCTATTGATTTGGTTTCTCTTTTTTCTTTCTTTCGCTTTTTTTATCTCATAAATTCTTTTGACTCTTCGACAGATTTCCAAACTAAAATCAGTTCAAACAATCAGTCATCACCAATGCGGTGCAAGAAGCAAAATGATGCAGGGCAGGCAGGTATGGCTCCCGGAATTTGCTAGAGTTTCTCCCCTTTTCCAAGCCCAGCCTGGCACCAAAATCAATGCTCGGAACAATATGACTTGTGTGCATAATTGGCCATTATTTTTGGGCAGCAAAAGGACATTGCTCAGTCTAATAATATTGCCATTATTTTGTCTTAGCTGTATCTTAAAGCCATGCATGTGAACAGAAAGAGAGGGCACCAGATTGACTAAGTATATGTCTGTATTTAGCCATCGTACTAGCTATAGCTCTTGTTCCCTTCTTCCGCGTTGATTTCGACTAGGAATGTGAGAATAAGTTAATCAGATTTCTTGATCGCGAACCTCCAATGATTATCGAATGATTAACATTAAAAATAAAACAGCTACATGCACAATCTCTGTAAGGGGACTAGTTTAAACAATTTTTTTACTTGATAAATTGAGGAAGCAACGTTAAACTAACGCTTGGATCTGCGAGCCAACTGGTGCGAGGTGATAGGTGGCCGCCATAGGGGTAGCTGGCAAACTGGAGGCCCATTTTGTTATCTTCAAATTTGACCTTAGGCTGTGTTTAATGCTCGTGAGCCCTCTCTTTCAAGCGTCAACTGGTTCCGTACTACGACCAAACAACATAGCCAACACGTGCAAAGGATAAGATACGCTTGGTTATCCGTGCAAAAACTTTTCGACCGACAAATTTGGGCTTGTAACATTCTTTCTTTTGTATTTGTCTTGCTTCTCGATTCCTGCTTAAACCAGAATCAGTCTAGTAGTAGCTTGAAAGTGAAACTGTTTGGTTTGAGAATTTTGCTTGTAACATGAATTTGGCAAAGCATGGAGAGCTTGCAGGCTTACATCAAAAACAAATTTGGTTCCTTTACGGGAACGAAAAATTAATACATTGGTCATTCCCTTATCTTACCGACAGATATGAATAAGAACCCAAACCAGTACTATTAATCCACGGAAGAATTTTTATACGAAAAAGTAGCATAGTCGTCATTTTCTTCAACAAATAAAGTTCTTCAGTTGAATAGACAGTTGAAGAAATTAATTAATATGCAGTAGGGAGAGATACGATGAGAAAGTCTTATCCTTAGCATGATTTCAGCTTTTTGAGCCATTCAGTCAATCGTAGGGAACCCTCTGTTTGGACCTACACTCCCAATTTCTTCCACAGCTTCGGGTTCACCGGGGCTCCACCCTAACAACCAACAAATTCTGATTTTTAAGGAATATTAATCAACTTCAGCAATTATTAATTAATTCCCATTTCCATGGCTAACAACTGCTTCGTTGATTGGGTCAAAATGGCAGAAAATTAATGACGGCAGTAAATTTATTCTTCTACCCCGGTTTTTGATTTTCCGAATCAAACTACCAAGTTTGGCCATATGCGTACAATTTGTCAAGGGTGATACGACATCAGTTTTCTTTTCTTATTCTTTTCCAGATATGTAAGTCAAATCTTACATAGATAGATGTCTTCAATTCATCCCGTCAAGTTGTTGAGAGCAAAAAGCTCATAACCAAGGTTTTGGGACACTAGTCTTCAAGCTAAGTCAGAAGACTTTGCCAATGGATCAGGCTCTTAACCATGTAAACACCTCTTTATTTCTTTTTCAAATGTCAGACTGCTGTCATTTTTATCCATCCGTGCCTGAAATTGCGTATGAATTTTGATCCAACATGTGCGCACACTAGGTCATCTAGTTTTCATGATTTTTCTCTCTGAAGATCAGAAGAGACTCATTCGTTGGACCTAGCTGTGGTTTTTTTTGTTACGTGTACAACTTTTCCAAGAATTTCTTGACAGGAAAACGACCTTTTGTTGGACCTTTTTGATTCCCGGTCGCATTACAACCTAATAAAGTAGAAATTAAAATAGAATTTTTCTAAACCTTTTTCCCAGGGCCTCCCCCTGGCCTTTTTCTCACTCTCTCCCTCAAAGGTGATGATCGCTGACTCTTGGAGAAAAGTTGTTAGATTAAGCTTTTTGGTCGGTAATGATGGCTGTAAATAAGTGACAAGTCATAGGCAAAGGTAGGATAAAGTAAGGCTGGCTTGATTACCGCAGCGCAGGCAACGGTCTAGTGTTGGCGCCTATCGTCTTTTCAAGTCTTTAACATTCTAATTTAGACCACCAAATATTTTGTCTAACTTCATTTTTTTATTCGATATTTAACCTCCTTGTGAGTTAAACACTAGCCCCCACCTGGACTTCTTGGAGGAAGCTTTTGAGTTCTGACCAGGTAATTTGGACAGTGGGAACTTTGCAAGTAGGTAAACACATTCTCAATCCAACTTTTGTTGAAAGAAAAGTACTATAGTGAAAAGTTATTCTCTTAATTTGAAATGACCCAACATAATTAGAATGACAAAAATTTCAAGAAATTTAATGATCTTATAAGTTATAATAAAAGATTATACCTTCACTAACCCTTATCAATTATACTTGAGATTGTCTTGAATTTAAATCTCAAGTCTTTAATTTTTTTCAAATTTAAACAAATATGTTTACTTTAAACACAGGTATATATTTACGGACAAAACCCACCTTAAGCTCCCTTTTTTTTCTGTCGCGGTCCATCTTTGTTTTCTTGTGCAAATCAACCATATATTATATTTCTCATAGTGCTGGGATGAAACAGTTTAACATCAATATGAAGAAATTATAGGAAAAAACAGTGGAAGAGCCAAGTTATCAGTCCGCCTACATGTATCAAGCGGATCTTTATAGCTTATATCTTACTTAAAAGCAAAACCGAAAGTCATCAACACTGAATTAATTAAGAACTAGTAGGTCTTTTTGTTTTTCTCTTGAAATTTATAGCAGAAGTGCATAGCTGAGTCAACACTGACAGAGGTGTAACGCTTTATATTTTAAACCATAATTAAAATGAATGATAATTCACATTATTACGAGTTAAGACCTACTAAAGCAGAGTTTATCGAATTGCCACCACCCGTTTTACACTGCTTATTCTCACGTAATAATTTGCTTTTCACATGAAAGTGGCCTGATGCATCAATGATTTATTTCAGAAAAAAAGAAAGAAAAAGGTGATATGATCTTGTTTTTGTGACTTTGGATATGATTGGAGATGATTCTCATGTATAAACTCATTATTCAGGTTCTTATACAGATATCATAATTAAAATCCACCCGCCTTAAACATTTAAATTGTTAAATTAAGGCTAATAGTACTAACTTTTAGTTCTATTTAATATTTAATCATACATGTGTGTATATACGTGTAAATATGTTCTTTTTTATACACCATTTGTGTGTATATTATAATAAAAAGGATCAAGCTATGTGATCCGGATATATCCAAAACTCTTTCATGAAATTTTTAAAATTTATTTGTCAATTTAAATAATATTTAAAAACTTGGTATATTATTTTTTAAAATAGATTTATTATATATTATTATTATTGAAAATAATTTGTTTCGATCACTCATTTCAAAATCCAGTTGATGAGTTGATGCCCAATGATACCGGACCTTACACCCACCGAACATATGGATAGGCTTTGACACTGTTTTCTCTATCTCATAGTAAATGTGGGCTTGCAGAAAACCAAAGCCCAAAAGTCCAGTTTAGAAAAGAATTTCAAAATCCGAGCTCCGCTGGAATAATTATTAAACAATTTATCTTTATATATTTTATATTAAAATATGAGATAAAATTATGGTATAGATGTTTAATACTTTTTAATATGAAAAAGTGTGAAAAAAAATTATGAAAAATGTATTTATAATATAAAAAAATGAATATTAAATGCTTTAAAAATATATTTACAAATATTTAAAAATGAATAAAAAAAGAGAGAGAGAGAGAGACGGACAGGCTAGAGGTAGCCTCTGACCAATCTTCAACGAATAATAGCTAGGGGTCATGCAGCAAACCAAGCTATAGAGTTGAAGTGAGTTTGCCATCTGTGCCATCTTTGCCACTGCAAAGTCATCTTATCATGCATGGCAGCATGAGCTTAATTGGAACACGTAAATAAAGACCGTAATAATTATCCCAGAAAATCGCAAGTTGTCATTTTCCTTTTGGCCTGCAAAATCGAATTCCATGTTCCCCAGTCTGGAAAATTATGGTTAATAAAACTACAAATCCACTTGGTTTCTTTCTACTAAATTATTACTTTCTCCCCAATAAATTATATATGTAAAGGAACCTTCACAAAAACTTCTTGGAAGGTCCTCACCGGGAGTGTGAATCTTAATTTAGGATTTTATGTTGTGTTCAGAGAAAACACGACCATGCACAGTACATACTACCAGAAAGGAAAACAATAGAAAAGAGTGACATATAAAAAAGACTTCCCCCATTTTTTCAACATCTTGCCTCTTCCTTATAAGAATTGAACGCAAGCTGGCATCCTTCCCCCGTGCATGCATTCTTTTCTACACCAGTCGATGTCACCAACAGCATTATCTTAACAACTTTGAAAATGCTGCTTTTTCTCAATCCCAGGCGGAAAGTTCCTGCAGACATTTGGTCCCTTAGCTGTTATCAATTGTCCCCAGTCCGTACTCTGGAGGATACTTCATATATAGTTCTTTTCCTCGAGATCTGAGATCCAATTTAGGATAAGTTTGTCCAATTGAATCAATATAAACCCATGGTCAAGAGAGGTCATTGGCCTTCACTGACCATCAGCCCGGATCCCCGCTCAAATTCTTCTCGGAAGACACTCTCTTGCTTCTTTGGTTGACAATGGCAAACCTGAACTTCAATGCTCTTAGAGACTTACATAACTCCGCTAATGACCTCCTTCACTCACCGATGATCAAGCGGGCGCTTGTTCACCAGGGGCAAGAAAAATGGGTTCATCAAGTTTCGGAAGCATCTCTGAGAATGCTGGATGCTTGCGGCATTTCCAGAGATGTTCTGTCGCTTGTCAAGGAACATGTGCAAGACCTACAATGTACTTTGCGCAGAGTGAGCACCGATGAGCCAGACGTTGGAACCAAAATTGGAGTTTACAACCGGTATGCAAAGAAACTAAAGAAAGAGACCCTGAAATGTTTGCACTCGCTTAAAGGGATGAGAAACAGGTCTATCACTTCTGACATACTATCACCTATAGACGACAATCTCATGATGGTAGTCGATGTGATGAGAGAAGTGAGAGAGATCCGTGGTGAAGTCACTTCTGTCTCTCATTTCCATACCCTGGTTAGAGAGAAAATCGGCTAAAGGGTCTCTCGCCTCAAAGTTCGTACGATCGAGTTGCCAGAGCTTGTACGATATAAGCGATGAGATGGCACTGCAAAGCGCAAATAAAAGATTGGAGGCAGTAGAAATAACCATCGAGGATCTTGAGGCTGAGCTAGAGTGCATGTTCAGACGTTTGATCCAGACTAGAGTTCTACTTCTTAACATACTTACCAACTAATTCAGAAGCTATAACTTTTCCTTTTCATGTTAAGTTGGCAACTCATGATTTGGCGATCATTGTTATAACGGTTACCTCATATTGAGTTGCCATGCTACAGCTTGGTAGATAACCAGATTCGGTCATCGATTGAACAACCAAATGTAAAATTCTTTGATTCTTTTCAATAAGATAGCGCAGTCCTAATTGCCAATGCATTCCTTTCTTTCTTTCTTTTTTCCGTTCGATTACTTGTTGAAATTAGATCTGTTTTCTTATGAATTTTTCTGATTTTTCTTTTTTTTTATTGGTTCCTTGCCATGTGAATGCTCCACTATATCTAGTTGGAGAATAAAACGTTTCTTCTCAAATGCGTTATGTTGAAGTCCAACTTGCTATTAAATTTGGCACAGGTGCTAGATTCTCTCATTTTCAGGAATCTCCTCCTCAGCTTCCAGCAGTGTTTGAAGCATGCTAATATCTTAAACAAATTAAAATTTGCACGTAATGATTTTTAGAATGGTGTGGACAATGCCTCGTTGGATGCCCAAAGAATTGGTTCTGAATTATGATGACAGCAACGAGAACAATATATTATGCAAACAGCTGGTGCTAATCAGGACTGAAGCATAGGAAACATAAAAATCATAGGTGGTTCACTGTTCCCTGATTAAGCATGCCATGGCGATATGAATCTGGCTGCATCGGTTTAAGTTTTTCTGTCTGTTCAGTGGTTGTTGGACAACCCAGCGTAAGACCAGCTAGAATTATCCTCGTAACAGTTGGGAAATTGACAACAATTGAAGAATCCGATTGTTTAATCTCAATTGTTGAGAGCAATCGATTGGCACGGGCTGGTAATCTGCCCTTTTGTCTTATTCTTCTTCTTATTGACCTTGCTAATTCTGTTGCATGAACATCTAGACAGTGGTTCAATTTAGAATTCTTATGCATCTTTCAGATCAGTTAGGGTGACACATCAAGGCATAGAATCTTTAATATAACTCCCTGAACTTAAACAAACAGAAAGCAGAGGATCAATGTTCATCAGTTGGGCCAAGTCCAAGAGACTTGTGAATGAAGGCCCCAAGCCGTTCTGAGCTCTACTCGGATCAATGCTCCGGGCCAGGGACATCTATCCAAAATGAGAATATCACATTTAAAAGCATATTATGTTTCAATACTTCGAAGCCCTTAACAGTTTCTGTCCTAATCTTGTATTAATTTGAGAGCTTTACAAACAAGCATAAGCTTGACTTCAGGTTCCCTTTATTATAAAAGGCAATAATTACCACAAATTTTGACATGAAAACCGCTCTGAAAACATATCAAGAATTCGAGATCACTCCCAACTTAAGGCTGTGTTAGCCACCAAAAGTGGAATTTGTTATGTAACCCATTACAGAGGGAGGTGAACTCTCATGCTCAAAACTGGACGAGGCAGCCAGCACTGCACTTTCAGCTGAACCAAGTCAAGTATTTAGGGCTATCTGTAAGTTCATTCTAGGTAAGGAACAATAGAAAGTGTTTCAACAACAATACCCCATAATATAAAACTTGAATCTCAACCATTAACGGAGCAAAGTGGTAATTTGCTTTCTACATGGCAACGGAATCGTAATTTTGTAGAAGGCACAGCAATTTACTAGAATAGACTAATACAAAAGTACTTCAAGTGACCCTAAATCTACCTTCAATGATAATTTTAAAAACCAAAGAAAGAAAGAAAAGAAAAAGAGGTGCGCATAAATACATTCATTCATTCGGAAAAATCCATGCTCACAAAGAAAAAACCATGCGTTTAACTAAATGTTGTAATGGAGTCTCATATTTCATCTCATTATGCTTAAAATCCCTTTTCAGAATCACTTTATTGAATCAGAAGTAATTAACACAAGACATCCAAAACGGCATCTGCACGAGCAACCACTAATCAGATATTCTTCTTCAGGCCGCAGCCGAACAAAGTGCCAATAATCACTGAAATTGAAAACAAGTTTCTCCGATTTCATACTGCATTCTTACCATATGAATACAAATATTACCTTAACAAGAGCTTAAGAAGAGTACCATAACAAACTATATGCATATCTTAATTGGCAGCAAACAAATAAAAGGAGGCAAAACATGACCACTAACCACCAAATGAAATGAATGTTAATCCCCTAAGACCTACCTAAGTGACAGAATAGGCAAATATAGAAGTCAAGAAATAATTAAATAACTAAAAATGCCTTCGCAATTCCTAGGTTTAGATCTTCCCTAATCTTCTTTAGTTATAATCCTTATGTGTACATATGTAAATGCCATCAATTACATAACTAGAGTGCCAGACCATAATGCCTTCAGTTAGGTAGACTTAAAGCACAAAATATATAGTCACATACCTTTTGAGTTTCATAATGAACTCCTGCTACAGCAAAACTAAATCAGATTATACAATACTGAAACTACAAATTTGTGTGAAGCAATCACATAAAAAGAAAAACAGTACCTAATGCTTGTCTCCATGGCCGTGAGAATGGTCATCATGTCCCTCCCAAGGGTGTCGCCAACCCTAAGAGACACATAACCGAAGTCAGTCTAACCCAAGAAAGCAACGTACTGAAAATAAGGACTTAACTATCAAGAACGCAGAAAAGAGGTACTTCATACCAATACTACGGGACCATCTTGCTTAGCCCTGTACAAGACCCAAAACCTGAAACACCAAATTTCAAGAACCTTCATCAAATCTACCAGCATTGCAGTAATGAATTTACAAATGTTGGCAAGAACCTTCTCCAGCTACTATCTACCGTTCAGAAGGATAATTTAGAAACCACATATGGGAAGCAAAAATCAAAACTGAGTTTAACGCAAAATATACATGATCCTTATTAAAAAGAAAAAAAATTCCAGCCCAACCATGCAAACAAGTGAAACCCTGGACATAAAACCCTATGACAATAAAATTAATTCTACCAAATTCAAGCCTTTACTGTACTATTCTTCGGCAAAAATCCCCAGTTCTCGGCATATCCATGACTTCTTCTTCAGCTGTGCTAATTGCACCCAATTTGCCCAATGACTTAGCATAAAAGCATCATTCATTAAACTAAATCTAACAAAGCAAAGCTAGCGGATCGGGATTATACTCAAGCGTATTTCATATAATTAGCCAATTTAAAACCGCAGATTAATGCAAAAGATGACAAATCCAAACTCAGATTAAGTTAAAAGTAAAAGAAAAAAGCAAAAAAGATTACCACATGATGGCGCACAAGCCCTTGCCGGTGACGGTATGCCATCGCTTTGGGCGGTGCAAGGTTACTCCTTTGTAAGTCGTGCTCCCTTCGTGGCCTCCTCCCATCTCCGCTCCTCTCTGTCACCAAACCCTGAATCACCAGAAATGGTCCAAATGTTCGACCCCGAAATTGTTCTGGATCAAACCATGGAGTGGACTGCCGGTTGCTTTGACTCGAACGATCCCAACCGTTGGATTCTAATATGATCATGAATGGCTGCTGAGGGCCCTATTCTTATATCGGCTGGACCGGATCCTAATATCGTCTCTGATACCGGGCTTTCTGGTCCTTATTCTCAAGGACTAAACAGAATTATTCAAAGAAAGCCCAACAAAAATGATAATTTTTCTCCTCATTTGTTTTTCTTCTAAAGGGACAAAATTTAACAGAAAAATCAAATTAAAAAAATTCTGCAACTCGTTTTTCATTTTATTTATATAATAATTGGTAGTAGTAGTAGTAGAAGAATTTTTCTTTGCGTTGATAAGCGGAAAATAGTTTTAAAAGCAATGGGATGAAACATCAATTTTTTTATTATTAAAAAACTATTATCAAATATTGAAAAGTTTGGAATTAAAGGAATAATGCAAAAAAATAATAAAAAAGGAGAAAGTAAAAGTAATGAAAATCACGGGAAAAGAAAATTTTGAATATTTGATTTGAATTCTTTAATTAATTTGACGATTTAAAAATTTTTTAAATAAGTGATTTTTTTAAATACACTTAATTTATGTCCTAAGCTATTAACTTATTCGGCCTCGCAAAATCATGTGGGCCAGTTGGTCGTTATAAATATTCGTAATTTTTTTTAATGCTTTCCTACGTTTTCAAGTCTGGGTGAAGTTTTTTTTGCAATATGTACTAAAACCCTAAAACTCAATTATTGCATAATTGAAAAGTTTGCATTGAAAGAAAAGTAAAGAAGTGCACATGTTACCAATGCAGAAAAGCTGCTATTCATAGTTTAAATTATTTGAATTTTATCCAAATTTTATTAAAAAACTATATATTTAGCTTAATTTTGTATTTAATGGTTTTTTAATTTTTCAATACTCATTGATTATGTTCAGAATTTGAATAAAAGTATGTAAATAGTTAAGTCAGTTAATTTTTTTTAACAGAATGTGCTGTGAGAATTAATCGAATTGATTAATCAAATTAAATTGATTAATACAATTAAGGATAAAATAAATCAATAATTTAATACAATTATCTAAACATATATGTTATAATAAATGTATAATATATTTATATTATCATATAAGCATATATGCTATAATATATTTTATATTATTATTATATACGTTACAACTTATAAATAATTTAGAGATATATAGAGATCAATAAATTTTTATAAAATTGTAATTAATCAAGTTAATTTATTTAATTGTATTTCATTTTTTAAATATTCGAATTGATTGAACAGTTTCAATCAAAATTTGTTCATTAATTTGATTAATTAAATTTTAACCGAAACTTGCTAGATTGTTGTTCTGTACTTTGGGCACGTGCCCTGAGTGCTAAGTGCTAAGTAGTGCTAAGTGCTAAGTAGTTAGTAGTTACGACACTTCCTCAAACCCAATCCAAAGTGAACTGCGAGGGACACAGAACCGGGAGTGGAGGATCGCACGATTCATGACCGCAGACACTGCGACATGACATAAGCGCATAAATTCTCACGTGCCCAAAAGTCTCAAACACGTTTCTCAATTGAAGTTTTAAAATATCAAGAACCACTTCGAAATTCAGCAGAAAAGTCGTAAATTTCTTCATACGATTATGCGATCAAAACTTCGACTTCTGACATTTTGTCCCATCGGACGATTTTGACCTTGCCACGAAAGGCTTCCGACCACGGGACAGTTTCTCGGCAACATCTACAGTCAAGAGTCAAAGTAGCTCAACTCACAGGCCCAAGGTTCGTCTTTTTACAATATAAAAAAAAATTCGTCAGGGGTAGCCACCTCTCGAGGTGCGACCTTAAAAAATCGACAGGAAAAGTGAGCAGATCTGAACAGTGTTAGAATCTTAGAGAACTTGAAAACCATGGCGCAAAACATCAACTCAGCAATCGATCCGAGGAGCGGCTTTTGCAGGTCCAACTCAACCTTCTACAGCAAACGCAAGCCTATTTCTCTCGCGAAGAACGATTCCCTCGATGTCACCACGTTCATCTCTTCTCGTGCCCACCACGGTAAAGTTGCCTTCATCGACGCCGGTACCGGTCGCCAACTCACTTTTTCGGAACTTTGGCGAGCGGTTGACTCGGTTGCCACGTGTCTTTCCGACATGGGAATCCGGAAAGGCCACGTCGTCCTGCTACTTTCACCAAACTCCATCTATTTCCCCGTCGTTTGCCTCTCAGTTATGTCTCTCGGCGCTATTATAACCACCACCAACCCCCTCAACACGGCTGCTGAAATCGGAAAGCAAATCGCCGATTCAAAGCCCGTTCTCGGCTTTACTATTCCCCAACTCCTCCCTAAACTAGCCGGGTCCACCATTCCCATCGTGCTTCTAGATGATCACGCGATCAGTAACGCTGGCCAGGCGAAGATTGTAACAACTTTACATCAGATGATGAAGACGGAACCGAGTGGGAGTCGAGTCAGGGACCGAGTCAACCAGGATGACACGGCGACTCTGCTTTATTCGTCTGGTACAACCGGTGCGAGCAAGGGAGTGGTTTCGTCTCATAGAAATCTGATAGCGATGGTACAAACAGTGCTAAACAGGTTCAGTCTACAAGAGGAAGAAAGGTTTATCTGCACCGTTCCTATGTTTCACATCTATGGCTTAGTAGCGTTTGCCACTGGGCTGCTGGCGTCGGGATCAACGGTCATAGTTTTATCGAAGTTCGAGATGCACGACATGCTATCAACGATCGAGAAGTACCGGGCCACCTACCTCCCTCTCGTGCCGCCAATACTCGTCGCGATGGTGAACGCCGCGGATCAGATACGGAAAAAGTATGATTTGAGTTCGTTGCATTCAGCGCTGTCGGGTGGTGCTCCGCTGAGTAAGGAAGTGACTGAGGGGTTTCTGGACAAGTATCCAACCGTAAAAATTCTTCAAGGGTATGGATTGACAGAGTCGACTGGGATTGGTGCGTCAACGGACTCGTTGGAGGAGAGTCGCAAGTATGGCACGGCGGGGATGTTGTCGCCAAGCATGGAGGCTAAAATTGTGGACCCGGATAGCGGTAAGGCTTTGACGGTGAATCGAACGGGTGAGCTTTGGCTTAGGGGTCCCTCCATCATGAAAGGTATTACATTAATGGTCTTTTAATGGTAATAAAAAAAAAGAAAAAGAAAAGCCCTTTTGCTGTCCCGTGTTCTGGCCTTGTCTGGTAGGATGCCGGTATATCTCTCTGGAAGCTGACCAGTAAGGAATTAGTAAAATGGATAAGAAGTCTTTGGGAATTTGTTTTATATATGCTGGCAAGTTGAACGCATTCTTTTCTTTATATTTATATTAAATGATTTTTAAAGGGTTTGGTAGCTGAATTTAGTGGTGGGAGTGGTGACAGTATTTCAGGAAATCTGACTTAGAAATGCCTGCGGACTGTGGTGATTTTGATAGTCCTGCCCCCACCCATAATTACTAGAAGCCTCTGGTTTTTGCAAAAAAAAAAAAAATTATTTGATTCATTTCCTAATGTAGTGATTCAGGTTTCTAAAGGATAAAAGAGTTATCAGCTTATACCTGTGATACATTTTATATAGGCGATTCATTTCCTAAAGGGTTTGTACTTTGCAGTTATTTGCCTGTACTTAAAGTGTCGCGGTGGGCACTGAATTAAAAAGAGTATGACAATGATTGACTTACTCTGTTTCTATCTTGAGAGCCTATGTCAAAAATTTTGTAGTATTAATTGGAGATGTAAAGGGTTGATTGACACTTTTAGGCACGAGATAGTCCTTTTCATGACATTTCCTATGTTCTATTTTTGGTATTCGTTGATAATCTTTCCCTTTCTTTGATACTTAATTGGTGACCTGTCATTGTAGGCTATTTCAGTAATCCAGAAGCAACGGCATCAACTCTTGATTCAGAGGGATGGCTGAAGACTGGAGATATATGCTATATAGATGACGATGGTTTCATTTTTGTAGTTGACAGATTGAAGGAGCTGATTAAGTACAAGGGCTATCAGGTGAAGGAACCCCTCCTTCCTTCCCCAAAATTGGCCTTTCTTTGTATTTAATCATTGTAGAATTCAGGATGAAACTATTATGTAAACTAAGGTACACAAGATGGTTTTTAAACGTTGGTTTTATGTTCTCATAGTTTTGTGGTGATTTGGCAGGTTCCTCCTGCAGAACTTGAGGCATTGCTCCTTACCCACCCTGAAATTTTAGATGCTGCGGTTATACCGTAAGTTTTCCTCTTCACTGATGTGTATGGCATTGAAATTCTGGTTCTTGTACCGAGACACCCTGCGATTTCCTCTGTTTTTCTTGATTGGAAGAACATATATATTTTCTCGAAAGTAAGAGCCCAATTTCACACCTCTATCTTTGTGTCTCAGTTTTCCTGATAAGGAAGTTGGGCAGTTTCCAATGGCATATGTGGTTAGAAAAGCCGGATGCAATTTATCAGAGACTGCAGTCATGGATTTTGTAGCCAGACAGGTATGCATGAAGGACTAACCAGGGAATGCAATCATTTACGTTACTTTCCAGAAATAAGATGCTTTAATTCACGCAAAATTTCAGCTGCTATATGACATTATGCTGCTAAATCCACAGGTTGCCCCATACAAAAGAATCCGGAAAGTGGCATTCGTAGCTGCAATACCCAAGAATCCATCTGGCAAGATTCTGAGGAAGGATCTAATAAAGCTCGCAACCTCCAAACTATGAGCGGTTCTGGTTTAGCCTTGCGTCTGGACACAGTCAAAGAACGGTAGGATCGATGGTTCTGTTAGCATAATATTCCAATTAATAGCCAGCTTTGTGCTGTAATGGAATTTCTTTACTTGTTTATCAGAACTGAGTTAAGACAATAAGAGCTATGCCATTATCTTGTAAGATCTTTGATCATTTATCTATGTCCTATATTATAGCTTATGTACAGCAGGATTTAAATCGAAATAATAACAAAATTAATTGAATTTGGTTAATTAAAGTTGGTTTTTCCCATTTTGATATTAATCATTGAATGGATAGTTTATTTAACTATTTTCAATCAGTTTTTAATATTTAAAATTTTCAACCGTATTTATTGAAATTAATGACCAAAACGATCGAGGATAATTCTGCTGCTACCCAATTCAGCAGTTTATGGACAGGGATCCCGTCCAAGTCAGTCGGCATGAGGTTATTATTTCACAAAATAAAATAATATTATATCAAAATATTAAAACAAAAAATTGTTTTATTGTCTTACATACTGGAGTCTTGAGTCTATTCTAATAGGTGGCCTTCGGTGGGCAGGGGGGTTAGCTCTCAAAATATTTAAACCCTGTAAGACTTGAATGTTATGAGCCTGCCACCGAACCCATAAATGCGCGCGTCTATTAATTAATACTAATAGATGAATTAATATAATTAGGTTTTTTGGCACATGCATTACGTGGCAGCGGAAGGAAAAGTAAAAGATGGATGATGATTTGGAAATAAAAAAAAGATTGAAAGGAAAATTTTATTGAAAAAAAGGACATTGATAATATATTTTTATATTTTATTTTAAAATTGAATTGATGTCATTTGATTTATAATATTAAACTTTATTTATATAAATTAAAATTACGGGTATATTTATCAGTATTGTAGAGCAAAAAATCCATAAAAACGATACTACAACATTAAACAAAAATCACAACAACAAAAATTAAATTACATAATAAAAGTCTAGAGAATAAATAATTGCATCACAAGAAGATACCACTGCTACAAGTTTTGAATTTGGAATAAAAATCTTTTGTTACATACAATTTTGTCACATAGAGTAAAAGATCAATTATATTAACTCGATAATGATTAATAGTATTACTTTTGTTAACATTTATAACTGAATACAAATTAGGTTTGTGAAGAAATGGCAGTAATTGAGTGTGGAGGAAATAACGTGGCATTAACCTGAGTGGGGCGGAGAATTATTATTATTCTTTGAATTCGCGTGTCTGAGGGGTCAAAATCTTATGGAAAAATACAGGAGATTTGATATTGCAAGAAACTCCTGGATAGCTGAATTTTAACTCCATTGACTGTAAACTAAGGCATGAAGCGTCCCTGCCCACTGCTGCCCGGAACGACACGTCTTCAGCAACTCTTACCACTGAACTTGGCGTTTGCAATAAATCATCATTAGCAACCGGAGTGCTGTACTGCGCCCAAGGCAAAGCAGATCAAGAAAAGAAACTGAAAGCCATGGCTCAGATTACCAACTTAAGAATCGATCCAAGGACAGGCTTTTGCTCTTCCAATTCCACATTCTACAGCAAACGCAAGCCCTTTCCCCTTCCATCCAACCGCTGCCTTGACATCACCACGTTTATTTCCTCTTTCCCCCACCATGGCAAGACCGCCTTCATCGAAGCCGCCACCGGCCGCCACATGTCCTTCTCCGAACTTTGGCGAGGGGTTGACTCAGTTGCCACGTGTCTGTCCGATTTGGGAATCCGGAAAGGCCACGTCGTTCTCATCATCGCACCGAACTCCATATTCTTCCCCATCGTTTGCCTCTCTGTGATGTCTCTCGGCGCTATTATAACCACCAGCAACCCCCTCAACACGCCTCGTGAAATCGCGCTACAAATGGCGGATTCAAAGCCTGCCCTCGTCTTCACCACCAGCCAACTCGTCCCAACACTTGCTGGATCATCTCTCCCCATCGTCCTTCTCGACAAGCAGGAGATCATTACCGCGAGCGAAGCCAAAATAGTTGTAACCATGGATCAAATGATGAAGAAGGAACCAACAGGGAGCCGAGTCAGGGATCGAGTCTACCAGGACGACGCGGCCAGTCTACTTTATTCATCAGGCACAACGGGTGTCAGCAAGGGAGTCATATCATCTCACAGAAACCTCATGGCGCTGATGCAATCATTTTCCTGCATGGCCAATCCAGACGAAGTATTGCAAACGCATATCTGCACCGTTCCCATGTTCCACATCTACGGCTTCGGAGCTTTTGCCCTAGGGAAACTCACGGCGGGATCAACGGTGGTAATTTTATCAAAGTTCGACACGAACGAAATGCTGTGGGCGATTGAGAAGTACCGCGCCACGTGCCTCCCCCTCGTGCCACCTATACTCTTAGGGTTGGTGAAAGGCGCCGATCAGATACGAAGGAAGTATGATTTGAGTTCGTTGCAATCGGTTCTGTGCGGCGGGGCTCCGCTGAGCAATGCACTGATCAATGGATTTTTGGAGAAGTTCCCAACGGTGAATATTCGTCAGGGGTACGCGTTAACCGAGACAACAGGGTTTGGGGCGTCGATGCATTCGCCGGAGGAGAGTAGGAAGTATGGAACGGTTGGGCTGTTGACGGCCAGCCTGGAGGCCAGAATTGTGGACCCTGCCACTGGTTCGGCCTTGCAGGTTAATCAGACGGGTGAGCTTTGGCTTAGGGGCCCCTCCATTATGAAAGGTATTTCGTTTTATTTTTTTTTTCTGTGCATGACTCATCTCGTTTGTTCTTTTTTCTTCTTACAATTGGGCTGCTTGTAGTGGAAGATAATTATAGCAGAAATTTAAATATTCTATTATTTAATTGTTTATAAAGAGTTTGGGTATACTTTTCAGGGTGCAATGGTCAATGTCCTGGACTGTTCTTTTAGCAAAAAAAAAAAATCTTGATACAACTTGCTTGCTGAGAAGTCCATGAAATCGAATCGCACGAAATCTAATTTAAAAAGGGATTGATTGCTGTTGATGTCAACCCTACATTACATTAATCATAGAATATGGAAGAGTATTAAAATGAATAAACAGTGATATTGCTAATTATTTAATCACTTTTATTTAATTTCAACTGATCACATTTTTTTGGAATGTTATTTGCCAATTGGTTTTAACTCGGTTATCCTGAAATTTTTTTTTGTTATCAAGCAGGTTTAACCCCAACTTGTTAATCACAGCATCAATAGGCTTGCATATCATTCCTGCTTGATTTTTCCTTTTTTTGGTTTTTTCTTTTTCTTTTCAATTTCCTTGTGTTTTCTCCTCTTGTTGGTTCTCAGTGGCCTGGTACTTGTAGGTTATCTTAACAATGTCGAAGCCACAGCATTAACTCTTAATTCGGATGGATGGTTGAAGACTGGCGATCTTTGCTACATCGATGGTGATGGCTTCCTTCACGTAGTTGACAGATTGAAGGAAGTCATTAAATACAAGGGATACCAGGTGGATAGAACATTTGAGTTATATATTTTCTAGAAGTGTCAACTCAATGGTCATAGGCTTACATGGCTTTGTTTGTACTGCTGTAGGTGCCTCCTGCTGAGCTGGAGGCATTGCTACTTTCTCACCCAGAGATTTCTGATGCAGCTGTCATACCGTAAGTTTTCATCTTCAGTGATTTATATGGAGCTTGAAACTCCCTTCTTGTACGATATACACATATAAGACATTCCTATATTACATATTCTACCATCGTCGCAGCAAAGTATGTTTGGCGACGAAGCAACAGACAGTCTCTGAAAGACATGTTTCTTTGATCTGATTTCTTTTGAAGAGAGTTGGATTTTGATATCTTATGATCAGGTTTCCTGATGAGGAGGTCGGGCAGTATCCCATGGCGTATGTGGTTAGAAAAACTGGAAGCAATGTGTCGGAGACTGACGTCATAGATTTTGTAGCAAGACAGGTATACAATTACATTTCTATAGAAATAGAATTAGCCAAAGATTGTGAATAGCTTACAGACTTTAGCTATAAGTTTGCATCAGAGCAAGTTCATCTCATGTGAGAGTGAAACGTTTTGCTGTGATGAACACCAGGTGGCACCTTACAAGAAAATCCGCAAATTGGCGTTTGTAACTTCAATACCCAAGAACCCATCGGGCAAGATTCTCAGGAGGGATCTCGTTAAGCTTGCAACCTCCAAAATTTGAGTGATTCCGACTTTGGTGGGAAATAACTTGGAAAGTTGACGCTCAATAATGATGAATTCATGTTCAAAGCAAAGTTTTCACTCAAACAGTAAAAATTCATTGCTTGTTTCTCGTTACATGGAATTACATAAACCGGTATCATGCATTTCCCTGTTTGTTATAAATTTCAAGCGTGAGTGCGTGACCATATGTGATGTGTAACTCAGGTAATAAACCAAGAAAAATGAAAAATTGAGCATAATTTTTTTTTTTTATGAAATGTCCTTATTTATACAGATTGAACTCTATTCTTTCATCGATGTCACTGCTCTGTAACTGGTTTTAGGCCCCTGTTGAAACTCGATATGACTGAAGGTGAAAACTTTGTGCTGGAGAGTTAGTCCGAGGGTCATTTCATAATCGTTGCACACAAAAGAAAAGAAAACAAAAAACAAAAATCCTCCGCTGGAAGCCTGGAATTGAGGTAAAAAGTTTTCCAGATATGCTCGCCAGCATCAATGCCGAGCAAAGATCTTATCTAAATATGGGCCTGGAAAATACGATTGAGTTTGAGTTGATGATTTGATTGTGGACAATTACCATCCATCACCAAGTACATCTGGTTTGGGCCATATGTCATCACAATCTCATAATTTGAGCCCGAAAGATACAATCTCAAGATAAAACGTGGTCTTTCAGTCCAAAGCTTCAAGATAACTGTTAGGATTTAGGAATACATTATGCATGTAATTTGCAACAGAAAATGTTAGATCATAGTCCCAATTTCTTGTCGATTTCATTAGTTGTAAAGGAAAGAATAAAGACGAACCCTGGAGTTGTGGATCGTTGGCAGCTAAAGCCGATGAATGGTGAGCTAAAATTGTCTATTAATTAAAGGAGTTTTAATCATTTTAAGTGAATTTATTGGTAGATAATCAGTACCCTAGCTACACCATTTCTGCTCTAAACTAGATATACAAAAGAAAAAGGGAACTGGGAACAGATAACTGTCCTAAACTCGTTCAATGCACAAAGTGTCCTCAGCCAGCAAAATAGTATGTTAAAGCCTTGAAATTTTTGTGTCTCATGAAACCATAGATTGGTGCTCACCATGGCCAAGGAAAGCAGATATTGAAGCTCCCCTACAGGTAGTCATGGACGCTAAAGCTTTGTCCATATTCACCGAAGGATTCTTCCTTAGCAGAGAGAGAATGGAGTCCATCAATTCTTCCTCACACGGAACTTGCAATGGCCCATGATTTGCTGTACCAAACTCCTCCTCGGCCATCTCCAATAGCACCCTGAAGATGGGGTGATTCAAATAGTATAGAGGCACAACGAACCGTTTTCCTTCCCTGGTGTAGACAGCAAAATGGCCCTTCTTCCTCTTCCTCCACCTTTCTATAATCTCACTGAGCTTCATGGAAGAACCCTTCATTTTTTTTTCCTAACTGCCTTTTTTCGATTTTTTCTGTTGTTTTTAGTAGCTTTTCGGAGTTCTGATAGATAAGTTGAAGTGTCTCATAGATTGGACACTTCCTATTGATGGGGTTCGGCCAGGCTTTTAAAGGCAGTTGGAAGGAGCTACAAGCTGAGGTGAAAAGAGTGAAGATTGCCAACGTGTGGAGGAAATGGGCTGCCTTGTGACTTACTTTCTAGTATTTGCTACAAAAAATAGAGGTGAAAACCCCCCATGTGCTTTAATTGATACAAAACACAGTCTAACTTTATCTGGAAAAATTTGTGGCTGGAGGAGAGTCGTAGATGTTTTACAAAGGATAGGGTGGTAGAATTTAGATAGACATGGTCCCGTTGCACCCCCAACTTCTTTTCTAGTGGTAAAATTCAGAAAATCTCTGCAATGTTACATACACTAGAGATCTTTTTCAGTTTAATTGAGGAAATTGGGGTCTGAGACATGTGAGCTCAATTAATGAAGAAATTGGTAGTTTATATCTGTGTGCCCTTTTAGGCACTGTTAAGGCCTCAGGCTTTGATACTTATGGCTGTCGAGGCAGATGGATCAGATATTTTTTCCTGTTAGCGTTTTGAATCCGTTTTGAGGAAAAAAAGGCGAGCCAACTCTCGTTTATTGGCTGTCTCAAGTGTCTTTAAAGCACGACCCGCCTGTGATTGCCTACGTCTATGCTACTGCATTGAGAAAGTTCTCAAGTGGCAGTTCTCTCACTGTTTTAAATGTTGTTGAATGTCTGTAACTTTTCTAACTCTGAATTTAGAAAGCTTCGACTCTTTCCCTATATCCTTAAATCTAGCATTCAACTTTGTATCCTATATCCTTAAACTGTGTCGCAATGAATATCATGCTTGGAGGACATGTTCATGTATTGTAAGGTTCTGCCGTTTTCGCACTCTGAACTGTGATCGCCGATGTTAGACAAAGCAAGCCCACCGGCACCGCCCTAAGTTAATTAACCATGTAGCTCAGGTGGTGAATTCACGTGTCTTAGCGTTTCCTGCACCTCAGTATCCAGGGATACGACAGCTTTTAGCTTTAGATTTACCATGGTTCTGAAAGACTAAAATGGAAAGAAATGACAGGGATGTGAATCTATTTAAAATGTGACGTCATTACTTAGACTTCCACCTGCTTTCTATCCGTCTGTAATCTACATCCTGAACCCTTAAATCTCTTGGAAAGACAGTTGAATAAATCTGTAATGGAGGGAATCTTTCTAAATCAATCGTTCCCTGCAGCCAACAACTAGTTTCCTTCCATCAGGCCATAGCAGGAGGAAGACATTCAAAGAGAGCGACGTTAAGGATGTTATTTGGCACTCAGAATCCTTGTCGGAAAGCAAAATCTCTACTGCAGACATTACTATCTTAAAATAGGCATTTTATTTTGCTATATCTTGTCCGGAAATGCTTGCAGATCAGCTATGGGTACCAATACTTGTCGAAGGTAGCATAGTTACGGCCAGAGCCAAGGTCAGGCCCTTGCCCTCAGCAACCTCCATGGTAAAGACCATACAACACAGAGAAAGAAAGTGGATTGCCCCTGAATCTGGCTAAATATGTACTACTTCTGTTCTAAAATTCATTCTGTTTTTTTTTTTCTAATTAAGGAATCCTGCTCAAGCCTCCAGGGTTTCAGAAAGTTCTGTAAGCTGTTGATTTTTCTTTACAGGATCAGGTTTCTCTTTCATGACTGGAAGGAGGCATGATATGACATTTCCCGCTACTCAAAAGTACTAAGGGTAAGCACGAAATTTTAAAACAATATCTACAGTGATGCTTGCACATGGACATCGACCGATTTTCAACGCCCCATTACAAAATCTTACAAACGATTTTGTCAAAGATCATACTATTCACCCGTGGTGGGGATTAAAGGAGTAGCTTAACTTTTCACATCTTAATTTCCTTTTGTCTTGCACAGAAACTCGATGATGAGGATTCATTGGGTGATAAAGCTGATACAAAGTCGCAATTTATTGTAGTTGAGCACCGGAAATTCTGGAAATTAGTTTAAAAGTTAAAATTTCTGTGCTATTTAAACCAGAAATAGTTTGCAAGCTTGCAATTAATAGACAACAGCATTAAATTTTGTTGATTTCTTCATCACGTTCGTTGTCAGACACCAACCGCCCTATCAAATTGCTTCTGAACACTGAACAAGATTGTTTCCGCTTGGACAAAACTCATCACCTCTTACCATTAAAAAAAAAACCAGGAACTTTGCTGCCGCTTGTTAACTTGGGTTTGGATCAGTAGAGAATATCTGCGTAATCAACAAAATACATGGGGGAAAAAGTGAAAAACTTGTCATTTGGAGTTCATCAGTAATTACTGACTCTACAAATTTGCCTTCCAATCTCCTTCAACCTACATATAAGCAAAGCGGCGTGGTGGTCAGAGTAACTGTCTAAAGACCACGTTCTTCAGGTAATTATTTGAGTTTCACTAAGCACAAAATGTATGTTATGTCGATGTAAATAGCATACATGAGAATCAGATTCTATTATTTTGAGTGAACTGCATGCAGCCTGGCCCTTTGCTCTCTTTTATGATCGGCTGTTGATTTGTTCTTCATAAACCATTTTTATCTTGAAATGCAATTATTTGAGCCGGAAGCCCGTAGAGACTAATCTCCATGTGGATTGCCAGGGCAACCGCCACATGATCACTAAAATCCAAAAGAAACCCATGTCCAAAACCATCTCTTCTATCCAATCAGCACATGATTTTGTTGAAACTCTAATTTTGCTTTCTAAGAAACAAGTATATATATTAGTTCTCTGGCAGAATCGATTTACAAACCCAAAAAACCTGATCATTCTTCTTTTAACTGTCTATCACTATACGGTGTGCTTATTCCCATGATAAGCTTGAAGAAACTCATCGCCCTCGCGAGGAGGTGGAACCATATCGCTCCCTAGGATCAATCGCAAGCTAGCAAGGGCAGGCCATTTCGTTGTCTACTCTTTGGATAAGAGACGTTTCGTTGTTCCCTTGGCATATCTCTATTCCAACATTTTCCGAGAGCTTTTAAGATTGTCCGAGGAAGAGTTCGGATTGCCGAGGGATGGACCACTAGCTTTGCCGTGCTATGCAGCAGTCTTGGAGTACGTCATCTCCTTAATTCAAAGACATGTCTCTGTAAAGCTGGAGCAGGCATTTTTGGTCTTGTTGGCCACTCATCCATACTCCACCATTGCTTCTGTAAGAGTTACGTTGGCATCAAGCCACCGTGAAAAACCAAATTTCGGTGTGCAATTGCTCCCTGTTAGTATATAATTAATTAGATAAGTCTCTTTGTTTCGCAGAAAAAACTCTAGGAAGAAGCTAGTCGTAGCCATTTTTGGGTGAGGTTAGAAACATTTTGCTGATAAGTACTGTGAAAACTAGCTAGTCTAGTGTTAAAAACAAACACTTAATATTTTCTGGCATTATCTGAGAATGTCAGATCATCAGGAGCTGATAATTGAGTATACAGTTTCACAGAAGATGTTTCAGGAATCCAGACTGTATGTTCCACATGAGTTTTCGTTGCAATAAAATGATCTTTCCCTTTCCGATGATGAAGACATTATATAATTAATTAGTAATTGAAAAGCCTCCTATGACAGGGGAGGTGTTTTATGTTTTTTCCCCCTTTTGGGCTATGGGTTGACTTAAAATTACTAATTATAATACTTGCCTACCCCCACCTAATTATATCAAACTTCTAATAATCTGATGTAGATTTCAACTTCAACGTTAGAATGTTAAAATCACGTTTGGTTCTAAATTCATATCGATTGTGTGCTCTCTTTATTAACTATGAGGATTCGTCGAACTTATTTCACTTAAATAGTCTGATTTTTATGAAGTATAGATTTGACTTAATCCTTTTTCAACCACAGTATAGCTTATTAAAATGCTTTTGCATAATGTATGAATAAAACAAACATATCTGTCTGATTAAGATTATAATATATAGTTTTTCATTAGTTATAGGTGCATGGCCCCATCAAAGAAAATGTCTCAGATATAAACGAATTAATTTTCTTCGGTCCAACAAGGTGGAAAGAGGAAATAGTTGCACCCCTGCTTTTTTCAAAGCTTCGAGATGTTGGGAGTAATCGGAGTGTAGAAAGCTATGGATTCTCCAATCAAAACGTTAGCGTAAGGCACCTTCGTCCGAGTTGGCTTTTGACCGGGCCATATAGCCTAGAAGGGGGAAAGCCATAAAGAAAATTTAGGTAGGAAGATAAAATGCCAAAATTTCAAAACCGAATGGAACCAATAATTTAGATATTGCGTCAGTTATCATGGACGCTAAAGTCTATGCAATAATTCTTCTGGCAAATGGTGGGGAAAATCCCGATGGAGAGGAAAAAGAATGCACGCAGAAAATTAAATTAATATTTAATTTTCCGTCTAGCTAGAACTCCTAAGTCAAAGCGTACATCTTGTTTCATAAACAATTACTGTATTATTAGTTAATGCATGGTTGAGAAACGTATTATATTAATGGGAAATTGCTGAGAGATTCCAATCTAGAATTTCATCTTGCTTAAAGAGAGAGATATATAGCAAACATTAGCTCAAACCTAAGTTGTTCAAATCATACTTGTTCACATTAAATCTCTCTTTAATCTAGAGACTACCATACTTTTGGCTTTGACATTTAGCAAAATGTGATCTCAGCTTCAAAAAAGAGGAGGGGGAAAGAAATTCTGCCTTGGTGCCCCTTTAGCAACTTTCTCTTTTCAACAGGCAAATTCTATATATGTTAATTATTTACGTGTGGATTTCTTTTCCAGGAAAGTAAACTCTCTTAATTTCCTTACACTTTCGTCCAGCTATATAACATTTTTGGTCACAATAAACTTGGTCCAAGTCAAGCGGAAGAGAACATCCCAAAGGAAGCTCTTAAAGAAATACATTAAAAAGCTTCATGAATATTAAAAAATGAGGAGCAAATTGGAGAAAAGAGAGAACTTGGAAAACCAGCCGGTTAATTAGTCCATTTGGTTGCATTAGTAATAAGTGCCGGTCAACAGAAGATGTTTACTAACTTTCAAAAATAAAAAAACAGAAGTTGTCTACTAGAACTTCGTTCACCACAGTCCACAAATAAATCCATCAATCAGTTACTGTCTTTTCCGTTTTTTTTTTTCTAATGTTTTCAAGCTTTTAACATCTTTTGCATGAAACGACTATATATGGGTCGTTGGCCTATGTATCTGTGTGACAGAGTGTGAATGAAGAGTTAATTAGATAAGAGGAAAAGAGTGGGAAAATTGAAGAGAGAGAAAGATGGGGGAAGTAGTTGAAGACGGTTCCGCTGTTCATCCGCCAAGGCATCAGGCACAGGCGATACAGGCCCCTCCCATGCTGATGCAGTACAATTCACCTTCTTTGTCAAGAAATCCGCTGTTGCTATCAGAACAACATGATGGAGATGCAGCAAACAGAGCCCAAAAATCATCTCATCAAGCTCCCAACTTCCTCAGCCCCTTGGGTACTCCACTTAGGAAGGCTATCCAACTCACCAAGCTTGACCCGCAGGATGCCTGGCTTCCCATCACCGAGTCAAGAAATGGTAACGCCTACTACGCTGCCTTTCACACTCTTTGCTCCGGAATTGGAATTCAAGCCCTTGTCCTTCCGGTGGCCTTCACCATTCTTGGGTGGTATGCTTTTAGTTCATGTACCTTAATTAGAGTTTTCATCTGCATCCAGCAGCAGTTCTTCGAAATCCATAGCTTTAATTTTAAGTAATATTTTTACTTGGACATTCAGAATGATTTCTTCTTTTAATGTGCTTGGGATGCAGGACATGGGGAATAATAAGCCTGATAGTGGCTTTCATATGGCAGCTTTACACGCTATGGATATTGGTCAAGCTTCATGAATCTGCGGAAACTGGGATGCGCTATAGCAGATATCTCCAACTCTTCAGTGCTACTTTTGGTCAGTATATCTTGGTTATTTTCCTCCTATACTTTTGTACTCCAACTTGTTGCATCAGAAAATTCAAGTGATCAAGCATGTGATAAAGTATATAAAGAAACTTCATCCCGTGCCTGAAACTGTGACCTTTTCCTCTATCAGTTGACTTGTTTGTAGAGGACAGTTTAAGGGGGAAAAAAGAAAAGAAAAGCAGGAGCAAAACTTTTTTTTTTTCTTTTGGGTACACGAGGAGAGTGTTATAGCTCACGCTTGGAATAATCACTGTCCAAACACCAAACTTACCTGAACAGAAGTATACAAGCTGAAATTTAAGTGAAAAAAGAAAAACTAACAACTTCTACGCAAGCTGAGTTACTTCTAGAAAGGACAAAATGTGCATAACCTGATGCATTCCCCTTAAACAGGTGAGAAAATGGGCAAGCTGTTCGCCCTGTTTCCAATCATGTATTTATCAGGAGGCACATGCGTTGCACTGATTATCGTTGGCGGTTCAACCATGAAGCTTTTCTTCCAAATTGTTTGCGGGCATTGCTCTGCCAAGCCGTTGACAACCGTGGAGTGGTATTTAGTGTTTACGTGTGCAGCAGTCGTCCTATCTCAGCTACCCAACTTGAACTCCATCGCTGGAGTCTCCCTGGTCGGTGCGGTCACCGCCATTGGCTACTGCACAACGATGTGGATGATTTCTGTGACTGAGGGAAGGCTCGATGAGGTGTCTTACGATCCAATCAAAGAAGAAGACAACATGGCTATGATATTCAGCGTTCTAAACGCCCTGGGGATCATTGCTTTTGCTTTTAGAGGCCACAATCTTACGCTTGAAATTCAGGTATTGCATGGTTTCTATAACTTTGCCCTTTCCAACTTTTTTTTCCCTCCCTATTGCCCTTTCTTTTTTGAAGTCAACGAAAATGGACAAAGAGAGGCCCAACCCATTACCATGGAAACCTCTTTACTCTTGGGCCATGTTTGGGCATTTAATTCACAATCCATTGATCAAACAATTTTGGACTTGTTTGATTACCAACTTATCAAGTTATCATTGAGGCTGGGTTCAACTCTAAATCAGTACAAAACAGAATTTAACTCCTTTTTCTCATCAAGAAAATTTTAGTTAATTAGTATCAAAATATTAATTAACATGTCCATTTATGAATGATTAAAACTTAATAAAAGGGACCCGAAGCTATTTTTATTAAGAAAATTACTTTTCACTTTTGTAAATAAGTGTAAGTTACGAGTATTTAGTATTTACGTTGAATACAAATATCTTCTTAGAGGGTTTTATTTCGAGTAATACATAAACAATTTTCTACTTATCTGATTTAGCATTAGTGTGTGTATCTATCAATAATTAGTGAACACAAAAACTACTAAATTCCAAATTGGAAAGGAAGTTGTTTTAAACTTGCTTATGTTTACTGTGCTTTGACAAAACATTTCTATCAAATAGACAAAAACTCATAAAATATTATCTTTCTCTGAATAGTAAAATGTTTTTTTTCATGATTAGTCATTTTAGGATTAGGTTTTTTATTAGTATTACTTGAATTACATTAACAAAAAAAACCTTGGGAAAACGATTGCCACTTTCAGTCACATGTTGAAATATGCCTGGTAAAAAGGAAACAGAGCCTATTTAGTTTACTATTCGACTTTTCTCAGACAAAAACAAGAGATTGTGCATGTTGATTATTATATCCCTAGCATTATCATGGCATTCAAAAAGTTAAATAAGGATAATGTTCTCAATATTCAATCCCATTGTTTAAACCAAATTGCCAATAATTACTTCCATGCTTTTGAATAAAATATAGTAGTAAGTAAAGAGATTTTCTTGCGAGTGAATTCAAAGGATGAAAAGGAATGCAGTCAAAAAGTTCTCCTTTAATGATGTGATTTTCCTTTTCTTCACACAGGCGACCATGCCCTCCAGTGAAAAGAAACCATCTAAGATACCAATGTGGACAGGGGTGAAAGTTGCATATTTGATCATTGCATTGTGCCTGTTTCCTCTTGCGGTTGGAGGATATTGGGCTTACGGTCACAAGGTATGCCTTTATAAATTAAGCCAGAAATATTCTAAAGAACGGAATGCTTATGCTTCTCTTTAATTTCAGATACCTGCAAATGGTGGAATGCTGACAGCAATTTATCAGTACCATGGACGTGACACTTCCCAAGCTGTCCTAGCCTTAACAAGCTTGTTTGTCATAATTAACGCTGTGAGCTCTTTCCAAATCTATGGGATGCCGATGTTTGACGACATGGAATCCAAATACACCAAGAGGAAACACAAGCCATGTCCATGGTGGCTCCGGGCAGTGTCTAGGACCATGTTCGGATACGGTTGCTTTTTCGTGGCAGTGGCAATCCCTTTCCTGGGCAGTCTAGCAGGTTTGATCGGAGGGATCGCGGTTCCGGTGACCTTCGCTTATCCATGTTTTATGTGGCTCAGGATTAAGAAGCCTGAGAAGTATAGCGTAATGTGGTGGGTGAACTGGGGACTAGGCCTCTCAGGCACTGTTCTCAGCGTTGTACTCATAGCAGCAGGGGTTTATGTTGTGATCGACACAGGGGTTGAAGTCAGCTTCTTCAAGCCTCACTAAAACTGATCATTGATTAGGAAAGGTAGACCTATTGATCATCTCAGATTTCAGTCTGTTAATTCGGTTGAACTTCATATTTTAAGAAATTCGTGATCATGGTTATATGTCAATACTTTGTTTCTCCATAGGTTTTCAATATGTTTTCAGTGAATTAATTTCATATTATCATACATACAACCACGCAAAGTAAACAATAGTTACACAGTGGTTGGGTTGAGAGACTTAAGAGATCACAGTTATCAATTTGCCTAGAAAAATATGCTCATCTGACTAGCAATATGTATAACTATTGGAATATTCAATGAACATGGATTGTAAATCATTAGGCTAGCCAGCTAGCATTCTCATACCTTAACCCTCAGCTGTTTTCAACACACGTTTTTCAATTATTTTTTCTTTTTCTTTCCTTTTTTTTTTTAATTTTAGTTCCTTTTAATAGCTAAAAGTAATTCACCAAGGCTTTAGAATTGAAGATCTTGCATCGAATCTTACTTTTAAAGAAAATGACGAGGGTGTATACGGCTAAAGATGGACAAGGACTAGTCTTATTGTGTAACTTATCCTTTAAACAGAAGAAAAACAAACGAAAAGAAATCCATTACCACATCCACAACTTTAATATCATTGATGCAAAGGTATGAATCTATGATCACAATCCTGGTAAGCAAAAGAGAACAATAAAAATTGGAGATGCTTCATCAAAGGAAGGAAAAAGGTGAAAGCTACAAAACAACTTTCGCAAGGGAAAACGATACACCAAATATATATATATATATATATATATATATATATACACACGCACATGGTTGCCACTAACCAAATACTTAAAAGATACCTGAACTTCATGGAAAGTGCCCTTGTTGTTTGTAGTAACTTAGTTATATGGCTTAGCCCAGTGGCCACCAACCATATGAGCCAGACGTATTAGGACTTTCTTCCCCGCCAGCCATCCAATCTCTCTGTTGATTAGTCTATTCATGCGCTATAGGGACTTCACATGCATGCTACTGATATTGGGTACTATTTCACCAGACATCCACCACCAGGCAAGGCAGAGGAAATTTTTCAAGCAAAAAGCTATATGAACAAGACAAGAGGAGAGAAAAGAAGAATCAAAGAAAGTAGACTGGCCTTTGGGGTATTGCAACAAAGGTTGCAATGGGAATATGTAGCTTTTTGAGCTGCTTAAAATTGTTGGTATCCCAACTGTTTTTTATCCTGCCCTGTTGGTTTAAACCTGATTTTAGTCAATCCCATGAATCAACATTGTTTCAAGACTGATTCAGGTGAATTGCAGCTAAAAAAGTAAGTTTGAAATGAACAAATTTACATTTCAGACATTATCAGTCGTAACTGTACAATAATGCTCAATAAATCACAACACATTTTCTAAACTTTATCAATATCAGCTGGTTTGTAGACTGTATAGCATCGCTGCACCCATCAAATAAAGTGAAATATTCCATGTTCTTTTGCTGAATGAAATGTTTCTTTTTCGTTTCTTGAAATTGTGATCACAATTAGATTGATGTAACTCAAGTACATAAACGAAATGATGATGGAAACGGAGCTGATATAATGTGGCTGACATAGGCATGCCGGCTGCGGGTCGAAGGTCCAAATTAAAACAGACAGAAAAAAAAAGTGTCCGAACACTTACTGGTGGGTGATCTTTTTAGATTAAAAATAAGGGCAGCCAAATGAGTCAGTCAAAGCTTTCTCTTTATCAAACTGATCCCCCACTACTGACCCCTGTTGGGTTCCATATTTTCACCTACTCAGCATCCACAACCACCACGACGTCAATTATACTTTAAAAGCATGTTGCACACAAACAACAATTATTTCAGTGCACATCCAAACACAGAGGAGCAGATTCTCTCCATGGATTGTTCACTTATATATTGAGGAACAAGCTCCGCTCAAAAGAGAGCTTAATGTACCAAACCCCTCATCAAAACTTTGTCTGATCACTTACCATTTTACAAAGTATAGCAACCTCTATAATCCTTAAAGAAGAGAGAACTTAGTGAGAGAGAGAGAGACCATATAACTTAGTCGTGATGGGTGAGCTGGTGGATGTACACTCGAGCCCAGCAACGAGGCCTGGGTTGGAAACGTTGATCATCTCCGCACCTCCACTTCAACTCAATTGCCCTTCGATGACTCGGTCGCCTCTGCTTGATTCAGCCCCAAAAACCCCCAAGAGCCCCTTTGTTACACGTTTGATGACTCCTGTAGCTAGCCCCATGAAAAAGGCAATTGCAAGCATGCAAGGCTACTTGGAAGAAGTTGGACAATTCACCAAGCTTGACCCACAGGAAGCTTGGCTTCCCATTACCGAGTCGAGGAATGGTAACGCATACTACTCAGCATTTCACACTCTAAGTTCAGGAATAGGATTTCAAGCACTTGTTCTTCCGCTAGCTTTCACCACTCTTGGTTGGTAAGTAGCCAAACTCTCTATTCACCTTAAAACAAAAAAAAATGGAGGAAAAGCCGCCAAAACGCTTTATATTTCAATGAATTTCCCTTGCGGGCCGGAGACTTCTAAGTTCTAGTGAAAATTAAACAACTACATATGCAACTTATTGCAGGGTCTGGGGTATTATATGTCTGTCACTGGCTTTCACTTGGCAGTTATACACCCTATGGTTACTAATTCAGCTGCATGAATCAGAATCTGGGATGCGGTACAGCCGATATCTCCGACTTTCCATGGCAGCTTTCGGTAAGAACTGACAGAGAGTCATGTAAACCTTGACAGATAGGCTAACTGTAGAATTTTGGGGAATTTAATTTCATGAGAGCTTGACCAATTCATTATTATTTTCAGACCTCAGTTCAATTCTACGACTTCGGAATATCACCAGTGAGCCTAGAGATCAAAGGCTTAATCGTGATCAGTTTTACTATGTTATGCACTGTTTTCTAAAGATACGCATGCATTGATTGGGCAAATTCTTTATTTCTAATCATGTCATGTTTCCCTTTAGTTTTGCTTGCTTCATATAATTTAGCAAACTTTAAAGATTGAAAGTTACCATGGAAGGAAAAGTCTGTTAAAGGAAATAAAATGGTAATCTTAATCTTGTACTCTACCCGCAGGATAAGTTTAATCTAAATCTAATAAAAAGTCTTGTTTGATCTGATTGAAGACTTTAAAAAAAGGTGAAACCCCGAAGTGGAACTCTAATCAAATCTTTTTCCGCATGAGATGATTTGACTAAACTAAGGAGACAACTTGATCCAGTGTCCATGCTTTTGCTCGAGATAATGAACTATATAGCATAATTAAGCATCGACCAGTGCATGCAAATGGTAAAATTTGTGCATGGGAAACTAGTATCCTTCCTTTTGAAAGTCAAATTTGAATCTTGGACCAATTAAGGAAAGCATGGTGCGTTTCAGGAGAAAAACTAGGGAAACTGCTGGCTCTTTTCCCCATCATGTATCTATCAGGGGGTACGTGCGTGACCCTGATCATGATCGGAGGTGGGACCATGAAGATATTCTTCCAGATCGTGTGTGGGAACACATGCAGCGCGAAACAGCTCTCTGTCGTAGAGTGGTACGTGGTGTTCACTTGCTTAGCCATTCTCCTGGCCCAACTTCCCAACCTAAACTCTATAGCTGGCGTTTCCCTGGTGGGGGCAATCACCGCCATCAGCTATAGCAGTTTGATATGGATCGTGTCTATTACCCATGGTAGGCCAGCGGGCGTGTCCTATGACCCGCCTGAGGCAAACTCGGAAGTGGCCAGGCTTTTCAGTATTTTTAATGCACTTGGGATAATTGCCTTTGCTTTTCGAGGCCACAATCTCGTGCTGGAGATACAGGTAAGGCAAACAGATTCAGATGAATTGATAGCATCTCCCTTGATTGTAATCCATAGAAGCTTTTTGTAATCTCTTTTCTCTCGGCACAGGGGACGATGCCTTCCAGTGGCAAGCACCCTTCCCGTATTCCGATGTGGAGAGGAGTTAAGTTGGCTTACTTGATTGTCGCAGCCTGCTTGTTTCCCCTCGCAATCGGTGGCTTTTGGGCTTACGGAAACTTGGTAAGAAGCGAAAAACTTGGGTAAACTTGGGCCATGCCCATAAACTCATTGTGGCTAACACATCGTGGTGTTTTCTCAGATGTCTGAAAATGGATGGATCCTAAGTGCTTTGTACAATTACCACAAACTCGACACATCAAAACTGCTTCTGGGGCTAGCGAGCCTACTCGTCGTAGTTAACAGCCTCAGCTCATTCCAAATATACGCTATGCCCGTGTTCGACAATTTGGAGTTCAGATATACAAGCAAATGGAGAAGGCCATGTCCACGGTGGCTGCGCACGGGGATCAGAGTTTTCTTTGGATGCTTGGCATTCTTTATTGCGGTGGCGCTACCATTCTTGCCAAGCTTGGCAGGACTGATTGGAGGGATCGCATTACCGATCACCCTGGCATATCCTTGTCTCATGTGGGTGATAATCAAGAAACCTCAGAAATTTAGTCCATCTTGGTGCCTCAACTGGGCATTGGGAGTGTTAGGGATGGTCCTCAGTGTTCTGGTGACCACTGGAGCAATATGGGGCATAGTGACCAAGGGACTACAAATTCGCTTCTTTAAACCCCAGTGAGCTACAGCTGCACGATCAGAGATGTAGCTAGTCGAAACTGGCCGACTAGCCTTGGATCTCCTCAACCCAATGCCCACGCAGTGAAAGAGCCACCATATCAAATATGTGCAACATCTTTGAATGGTTCTATAGTCCCCGCGCACTGGCTTGAGTCTTGGTTTATAAATATATACGTATCAAACCTCGTGTAATTATATTAACATAAATGATATCACCTTATTAAAATGCTTGTTTGCCACAACTTAGTAGCATAATCTCGCTAATTAGTTTTTGATAATCTGTGGACTACGAACTTTACCACTTGAATAGATAGATCCAATATAGTACAACCAAATATGCGAAATTATGGACGAACTTAACCCTTCTATCAACTGGAAAAACGTAAATCATGAATCGTTTTGATCTGTCTAAAAACAATTGTACCGGTACATCATACATGCAAAATGTTTCAAACACTCACAGCACCCATTTCCATCCTCTGATGTGTTATAAACTACAAACATGTCTAAACAAATTACAAAATAAAGCAAATATTGTTCACTACATTCCCACCAGGATTAGCATTCCAATATAGTTTCTCAGAGCCATGCATATGGCAGAAAGGTAGTGAGAGAGGCACCTTACCTTAAAACTAACTGCTCCTAGTTCAATTAGAACATCACAACTTTCCATCTCAAATCTTTAGCCTCACGGTGGTTCACCAATTTTCAGGGTGATCATATCAAATCATATTCCTTCATCAGCTCGCTTCAGGCACAATTACATATTCCAATAGACCAGAGCAAGCATGGGCCAAATGCAATGATCAATAAATCTCAAATTTACAAGATGAAATTGGTCCCATTTAAACAAATCCAAGCTTCATGTAGTCCTACATAGATAACGGAAGAAGCATCCTTCTTTTCTTTTTCCTAGCCAATCTCACTTGCTTTGTGATTTTCATGCCGAGAAGCAATAACATTGTGATGCATACTAGGATAAAGGCAAGTTGCATATGCCTAAAATATAAAGAAACAGCTGAAAAAACCAGGAAAGCTAAAATAATGAGTTCCCATATAACGAAGACCACAACATCCACCCTGCGGCCACGAAACAATAAAGCACAACTATTAGAATTGGTCTTATCCAGAGACAGAGAAGAACAAACAGCAAAATGAAGACTAAATTAACAGATCCCAATAAACTACACAGCTAAGTATGATTCTCCAACAAAAAATTGAAATCTCATGCCTCATAACATTTATTAATCTAAATCATAACCTTAGAAACATGTCAAATCTTGTTGGAACGACACAAAGTACAAACTTATCAAAGCCATGAATATTTTCCATGCATCAGTAACACAAAAGTCTCAGCACACACGTTACAAAACACAGATCCAAGGGCAACAGTTCATTATTTTCAACTCCAGGCACCAAGAGTTCTCAGTCTGAGCTAACATAAGGACTCCTAGCCTAAGCCCCCATAATCTGAGGAAAACCAAATAATTCCATAAAGCACCAATTCTCAGCAGAGTGGCAAGCTTTCTTCTCTTATAGATACTTTATAAAAGCTATGGAAGAAAACTTGAGATACACATGATACACAATCAAAACAGCTGAGTGAATGGCAAGATGGCTAGGCAACATATGTAAACACACGTGTTGATTGCTACATTTCCTCATCTCCTACCATACAGTTAGTTACACATCAACCACCTAATTCAGTCAATTAAAAATATAAATTATAGCAAATTATACGAGTTGAAAAGCAAGGCTTAGCAAGATACTTGCAGTATAAAAACAAAATTGAATTTCTTGGTGCAGTATTAACTAATAACCATACTCATTTCTACAACAAACTCCCACAAATAAACTACATGAAACAACCACCACAAGAATTTTCTTCTTCTACCCCCACCCCCCAGTGGCAGGCTTCTTTCAGCCAACCAAATTTCTATTTATGATGAAAATTAAGCTGAATAAACAATTTCAAACATTCTTCTTCTTTCCTTTTTGAGGTTCTACTGCACAACATAAGGATTCAATAGCAGCTTATCGATACTCCAGAGTCAATTTCGTTTTCTTGACTACCTAAAATTTCAATATATTTTCAAAACGATAATTTAATTACAACGAGAACCTTTCAAACTTTTTTTTTTAAGTTTAGCTTTTTACTGCATGCATCAATAGATTGAGAAAATAAATTCAATAAAGAAACAAACTTTTTCAAAAGAAATTCAAAATGATATCATAATCGATAAGCTACAGCTGATCTTTTGAACGTAATCATCCTATAAAACCCTAGCTTATCTAAATAAATCGATAACGCTTCGATCGAAGCTCAAATGAAAAACATTTCAGAAACAGCTCGTTAAGCACGAAGATCTCGTTATCTAAAGAAAACCAGACGAACAG